TGATATTCTGGCAGATTTTATTTATAATACATCACCACACACCACAATACATCACCACACACCACAGGCTCATTGGGATGAGTAATGAGTACAACTTTGGTGTCCCAGGTCAGACCTGAGCATGGGAGGGGCAGTTGGCTTCAGAGTACAGAGACAGAGCAGGTGTCCCCATGCCAGTGGGGTCCATGACTGCACGGCTCCCCACCCAGCTGGGGTGTAGAGTGGCTGGGGGTGAGGGGCAGGCTTCTCGAATTCTCTGGAACTGCTCTGTCAGCTGTGGCCGCTTGACTCAGGGCTCTTTCTTCGGAGATGTGTCAGACACTCCAAAATACATGCAGGCATGGTGTTCTCCCTATTCCTCCCCCACAGTATCAACTTCCCTGGTTTGGGAACTCATTCCTCCTCACTTTACAACATATACATATATATATGCGTTTGCAGAGACATGTATCCCCAGTATTTATCCAACAACTACTACAGGCTGGCATTTTCCCAAGGCCTTGGGCTGCAGATCCGGAGTCAACAAAACCCTGCCTGAGGGCACGCGGTCTTGCCAGCCTCCTGCTCATAATCAAGTTTTATGGCACACGTCAGGGGCGTTTGTTTACTCTCCAGGTGTATTAGGTAGTACTCTGTTGCTGGCACAAGACACCCAACAAAAGCATCCTGAGGCTCGCAGCTGGAGTCCATCGTGGCAGGAAGGCGTGGATGGCAGCTGGGGGTGGGGGTGGGGTGGGGTGAGGTCAATGGCACCACAGTCTGGAAGTAGGGAGAGGTGAATGGATGCTGGCACTCAGCTCACCTCCTTTTTATTCAGTCTGAGACCCGGCCCGTGGGATGGTGCTGCCCTCATGTAGGGTGGGTGGGTCTCCCACCTAAGTAAACGCCCTCACGGATATGCTCAGATTCTAGACCCTGTCTCATTGACAGTTGACATTGAATGCCAAACTAGCCTTCACTGCCCTCTTAATGATGACCGAGTAGCCGTTAGCCCAGAGACCCCAAACTGTGCCATCTGTTTCTTTATAGAAGCTTGATAACCCTGGGGTGGGTCACCGAGTGAAAAGGCCCTTCTGGCTGTCCTTAGTTCAGGATTCACGAATCAGGTCAGCATGAAGGAGTAGAACCTGATTTATTCAGTTTCATCTCGGGATTCATCCAGAAGGTGGAAGGCCAAGCGTGCGTGCTGAGCAAAGTCACAGTCAGTAAGGAGTGTCTCACTCTTAGCACACCGGGGCCGACTTGCCATGGAACCTTCTAGATGTTTTCTTCGCTTACACTCACGCGTACTTGTTCGTTTACACAGAACCACTTTCCTGGCACACTGTTGTTGGGACCCTTTTTAATTGTTTTTATGTTAGCTGGTGTTCAAGACACATCTTTCTGTGATGGCAGACGTTCTGTGTGAGTGCCGTTTTTGTCTCTGGGCCTGGCCTCCGTATTTCATGGTGTCATCCCCCTCTTCACAGCTCAGGCTGTTGTTCCTGTTTGGCAGTGATGGCCAATCCTGCTGGGAGTGGCTGTGTTCTGGAACCTGAGGAGTATGTTTGCTCACCTCTCTGAGATGAACTTCGGGGACTAACCCTGCTGATTCAACTAAACCTGCAGGTTTTAAATCGGGAGACGTATGTTCTAACTTGTTCGGGCACAAACCTTAGACGTATGTGCTAGCTTGGTCTCTCCTGCACAAGCCTTGGGAGGAGCTCCCCCCGCCCACTGTGGGCCTGGGGCCTGGCGAGTAGCTGGGCCGAGCCAATGGGCTTTCAAACCCCAGATTCCTGAGTATTTCGAGGCGTGTGTCCTTATCAGAAACTCCTGGAGCATTGTGGGAAAAGTGGAGCAAGTGGGTGTTGGTTGGGGGTCTGGAGAGAGCTGTGGGTCCCACGGATGGAGACCCTGCCTCTCACCCATCTTGGAAGCCAAGAGCTACATTCTGCTCAGTTCCTGTGCCTCAGTCTCCTTCTCTGCAGGTGAAGCACAGAGTGAACGGCTTCTGAGGAGCCTCCTGGATCTGATGTCTAGGATTTGGTTCCCCTTATTTGGAACTGGCAGAACTGTGGAAGGGATCGGGGTGTTGATGGCTCCATCTGCCCTAGACCCAGCTTCTCCTTACCACTGCTCGGGTGTGCTTTTAGTGCCTACTTTTGTTTTGAAATTTTCGGGATAGGCTCTAGCAATGAAGCTCTGGCTAGCCTAGAACTCGCTATGTAACCCAGGCTAGCCCTGAACTCATGGCAATCCTCCTGCTTCAGTCCCCTAAGTGTGGGGAGGATAGATGTGAATCAACCCCACCAAGTTTGTTATGTGTTTTCAGACATGTCACCAGGGGACACAGGGACAGACAGACATGTCACCAGGGAACGTGCAGGTTCTTTGTCTCTAACATAAAAGCATTTAAGAAAGGATTCATTCTACGGGGGTTTAAAAAAGGAAATAATAGTGCAGGAGTGGTGGAGGCCTCACAGGGTGGTGGAGGCCTCACAGGGATGGTGGAGGCCTCACAGGGGTGGTGGAGGCCTCACAGCCCTCCGAGGGGAGGGAGATGGGAGAGGAGAGAGTGAAGGACCCATTTTCTCATCCAGAGGCCAGGAAAGCCGGGCTCAGCATTCAGTCACTGGAAACCCAGAGGCTTCAGAGGGAAGGAGCGGGGAAGGAGACTCTGGACAAGTGGGCTTAAGATCTGTGCTGCTGGAAAGAGGGGAGAAGCCGTTGGCTTAGCCCCTGCAGGGAGGGAGGGGCACAGCTGTCCCTCTGCCTCCTGTCCTGCCCTCAGGCTCCTCCTGTTTCTTTTACCTTCTGCTGGAAGGACATTTTCCCTCGTCACCAGAGGCCTCAGCAGCTGTCTAAGGCAGACCTGTGCCAAGGGCCACAGCGACGGTCCACTCACGCCGTCACAGGAAGGGCCACAGCGATGGTCCACTCACGCCGTCACAGGAAGGGCCACGTAGGTATTCGTGTCTCGAAAGAGGGCTGCTGGCAGGGAAGGACCCCACTGCCTACGTCAGAAAGGATGCTGTTGGCCACAAATTGTGCTCCAGAAGCACGTGACGGAGATGTGCCCTGACCCCAGTGACACCCGGGAGGCGGCTGCTACAGAGGCTTTTGCTTGCTTGTCTGTCTGCTTGCCCAGCATCACTCGCGTTTAGTGAGCTGGGGCAGAGCTGAGACAAAGCTCGGTCAGCGGAAGGTCTTGCCTTCAAGCAAACTTTGAGTTGTAAGATTTTCTACAGATTTAAGCATCGCAAGTCCTCTGGGAAAGTGGCTGGCGTAGGGCCTTGCAGCCATGAGAACTGCCAGAAGGCCTTGGCATTGAGGTGGGATGGAGTTAGGGAAGGCCCCGATCTGTGGCATCTGCTCAGGGTGGTGCCATGGCCACTCCTGAGTCCCAGGGAGGATTCAAGCGTTCCAGGCCCGGGAACGTGTCCCAAGAGCTTGGGTGTAAAAATACAAACATGGTCCCAGCTGGAGCCACCCACCACCCAGACCCAACAGTGGTCCGTCAGCCGCCATCAGCCGCCATCTGCCATCAGCCTGTTTCAGGCCACGCTGTTCTGCAGTGCCCGGGGAAGTGCTCACTGAGATGGTCTGACCGTCAGAGGATGCACACACACCCTGTGGCTGACTGTGAGCATAAAAGCCACCAGCTGCTTAGAAGTCGCCATCCTTGGGACAGGTTATGTCTCCAGCACTGCGTCCCACATGGTGGAGTGTTCTCTGGCCACAAGGAGCATGTGGAGAAACTGAGCCACAGAAGGTCCCAGACTGGAGTCAGTCAGGGTGTTTTGTTTGGGGGATGGATTATGTAAAAATGTTCATGGTGATTGTGTGTGTGTGTGTGTGTGTGTGTGTGTGTGTGTGTGTGTGTATAAATGAGTGAGTGTATGTATGTAGTCTTGACAGATGCTCTACCATTGAGCCCCCTCACCCCAAGCTCCCATTATAACTCCTTTGCAGCAGAGGTGGGCCCAGGCTTGTGTGTTCTGTTGCTGGGCTGAGATAGAGCCCTGCCAGGTCGATCTTCTCTCTCCCTCCCCCCTCCCCCGCCTCCCTAGGCCTCTTCGAAAGATGGTATCTGGGAGCATCACTGAAAGGCCAGGTTGAGAGGCCACCTGAATCACTGTGAGCAAGGCCACTCTTGGTTACTCTTGAGAGAGCTCCGGGGCCTCAGTGGCTGGTTTCCATGGTGATGATACAAGACAAGGCCTTTCATGTACCAACCCGCTGAGTAGGGGAAGTCAGGAGCACAGGTGTCATGGTGACTCATGAGCCATCCCTGATGTCAGGCACCAGACTGGGCTGGTAGCCAGCCCCGTGGTGATTTGTCCCCTCACTCCCAGCCTGCATGTCACCCCACCGGGCCAGGGCATCACTCTCTCAGCTGTAAAGTAGGATGGGACTGAGCTCCATGAGGGGGCCTCATGTCAGCAGTGACTTGCTGTGGGCTCAGGGTCACCGCTGCTCAGGTGGGTGCTGGGCTGGACCACGCTGGCATGCAGCTGGTAAACCTGGAAAGTGGGAACGGGCCTGCCTGGCTTTTGTAGAGCTTTGAGGAGGGAAGAGATGGGTTGCACTGTCTTGTTGGACAGGAACACTGACAGGCCAGGTGAGACCCAGCAGGACCCTGCGCCTGGCTGTGCATTTGTTACTTGGAGGCTCACAGAGAGAAGTTTTCTCTGATGACCGTTCCAGAGCACATAGCCCCACTGGGGAGGGAGGGCCACAGGGGCTGCGTGGTCTGCGGGAGATAGGTTTGTTCATATCATGGAGGATCTGGAAGCAGAGAGCCCCGGGCGGGAAGCCGGACAGATTCACTTCAGGGCTGCCTCCAGCACCCACACTGCCCATCTGAACCCGGAAAGTGCCACTTCCTGTCATGTCTTGGCAGACCAGGGCACTGGTGTCGTTTGCCCTGACATGGGGAGCCACGTCTGAGGGCATTGGGGAGCTGGGTGCTGTGGTGCTGTGTGATCATGCCTGAATCCCTCCTCCTCTCCTTACAGAACCAGCTGAAGCAGTGCTTCTCCAGGCGAGCCCCCGAGGCCAAGGACACTGACACCCTCGTGCACGAAGCCGACAGCCAGTATGGGACCTGGGCAGACCAGGGCCAGAATGGAGGCAGGTAGGAACACACCTGGATGGAGCTGCCAGGCACCTGGCGACGCAGTTGGGGCCGAGTCTGCCTTGGTTAGGGGTTTCTGTTGCTGTGGTGAACCACCGGGTGACCTAAAGCAGCGTGGGGAGGAAAGGGTTAATTCAGCTTCCACTTGCCCATCCCTGTTCATCACCAAAGGAAGTCAGGACAGGAACTCAAACAGGGCAGGAACCTGGAGGCAGGAGCTGATGCAGAGGTCATGGAGGGGTGCTGCTTACTGGCTTGCTCCCCATGGCTTGGTCAGCCTGCTTACTTATAGAACCCAGGGCCACCAGCCCGGGGTGGCCCCACCCACCATGGGCTGGGCCCTCCCCCATCAATCACTGATTAAGAAAACGTCTTACAGCCCATTCTTACGGAGGCATTTCCTCAATTGAGACCCCCCTCCTCTTCGATGACTCTAGCTTGTGTCAAGTTGACATAAAACTCGTCAGCACAGAATCTATGAGACTGACTCAGAGATTTCTGCATTTTTAAAGAAATTTTAGCAGGAGGAAGCCATTGTTGTAATAAAGGGCATTAGAAAGCCACAAAAAGATGGAAATAAAGTGCAAACTGTTGACGACAGGCAAGTGGCCTGGACACAGCCAGGAGCATGCAGGAACAGGCAGACCCACAGAGACAGAGACCCACAAGGACAGACATACAGACACCCACGCTGTGACAGGCTGACACACAGGGACAGACCCTTGTGAACAGGAGGCAGATGGCAGACCAGCAGTGCAGGTGATGGTCTGGGTCCCTTGTGGTGACAATATTCTCAGGCTTGACAAGCCTGAGGTTCTCCACGTGCATCCAAGGTCAACTCCACTTGGGTCTTAAAACATTTGCAGGCTGCCGGGCGGCGGCGGCGGTGGCACACCCTTTACTCCTAGCACTCGGGAGGCAGAGGCAGGCGGATCTCGGTGAGTTTGAAGCCAGCCTGGTCTACAGAGCAAGTTCAAGGACAGGCTCCAAAGCTACACAGAGAAACCCTGTCTCAAAAAAAAAAAAAAAAAAGCAAAAAAAACCCCACACAAACAAACACACAAAAACCATTTGTAGATGACTCTGTCATATCACACTGTCAAAGTCTGGTCTCCCCAACGTGAGACCCGGGCCACCTGCACAGCATTGAGTGTAGTGTATGTCACTCGGGGATTAGCCCTGTGCCCTGGGGGGGTTTTCCCACAGTGAAAACATGCTGAAGACCCACAGACAGCAGCCCTCCCAAGCCCAGGAAGCCAACATACACAACAACAACAACAAACAGTAACAATACTACCCAAGTGCAAAACCAGAGGACCCTTCGGCCCTAACGCAGGGTCACACCGGCATCTGCCGGTCTGCGTCTCTCTAGATGCTTTCAGATGTCTGTGTGTGTTTGTACCTGCTAGTGCACGAACTGGTCCGTAAGTCCTGTGTGCGTGTATATGACCTGCAGGACCTTCTTCTGCCTGGCTGGGAGGGAACTCCCGGGGCAGCGATTGCAAACTGCTGAAGGGAAGCAGCTGTGAACCCACCCCTCCCGAATGGGGGTGCAGGTTGGATGAGATGACCCTTCCCCATAGGCCCCTTCCTCCTCCATAGGAAGGGTAGGTGCTCCGGCATCTGCCACAGGCTCAGTGCATGCCTGACTGACTAGCCCTGTGGTCTGTGGACATCATGCAAGGCTGGGAAACTGAGGCTCAGAGAGAGGCAGGGGCCTGAGTCAAGAACATGTATATCAGTAGTAGCTGAGCTGGACTTGAACCTGGGACCCCATCTCTCCCGCTGCTGGGGGGCTCTGACTGCTCCTCCGCTGGGTCACTGCTAGGGTGGCGGTGGGGGTGGGGGAGCTGCTGACCGTTCTGCTGAGTCACGCTGTCAGAGCTGCATTAAAAGTGGGTGAGAGGAGAAATGGAACCACCCAGCGGGACTCTTCCCCTCTCTACCTCCCCCTCTGCTAACCTATGACTTACGTGTGTAGCGAGCTTCCTTGAGTGATTCTGTAAGTGCCCCCGCAGGAGCCCCCAACTGCCTGGGGATCTGTGCTGGAACTTGTTCCTGTCTCCTAAGGGACCCCGAGCCCCGCGGTCCCCCCAGTCCCCCAGATTCTGTCTCAAGACCTCTGACTGAGACCTTGGTTCTTCCGAGGCTATTCGCCCCCCGCTGTCCTCCAGAGGAACTGCAGCCTCCGGGACCAGGCTCTCTTGCCTTGGACAGTGGCGCCCCCTGCTGCCCGAGGGTGGCTCTTCCCTCAGCCTCTGGGTTTGCACCTTTCCTGTCTTCATACCCCAAGTATGAAAGCCCTGGAGCTGGGAGCATGGGTTCTCAGTGAGTGAGCGAGCGAGCCAGTGAGTGGGTGGCTGGCTGTCTGGCTGGCTGAGGCAGCCGTTGGCTGGAGCAGAAGGCCCAGTCTTCTCTTCTGGTGATTAGGGACCCTCTGACCCCCTTGCCTTTGCCCAGTGGAAATGCAGCCTGAGCTGCCCACAGGAGACCCCCACACGATTTCAGGTGTTGTGCAGGCCACACCAAAGGAGCCCACAGAGGCGGGTGAAGTGTGTTTTGTCTTGGGAAAGGTCTCCGTGGTCAGTGTTAGAAGTGGACTGACACATCCCAGCAAGCCTAGCTGCCTGTCTGCGCCACGCAGAAGGACCCGAGTTCTGAGGCATCTGACCTGACCCTCTTTTCTCATCAGAGCCTTGGAGGCTCACACATCCCTCCCCGCAGCCTGTGTTGCCTCTCATTTTTATTTTATTATTTCTCTTTCTTCCTTTTTTATTTTATTTATTTGTTTGTGTTTGGTTTCTGAGCACAGGTGGTTGCTGTGTAGCCCATGATAGCCTCCAACCCCTGACCCTCCCTCCTGCTTCTGCCTCCTCCTGCGGAGATTCCAGGTGCGCCGCCGTCGCTCCTGGTTCCGGCCTGGGCTCTCCCTGGCCACCTGTGCCGGTGTCCCGTGGACAATGGACCCCTGGCCGCCGTTGCCAGGAGGAAGACCCCTGTGGTCCCCTGAGTCTGAGCATGTGGAACCCCCTGTCCACGACCCCTTGTGCTTGGGGTGGAGTGTCCCAGGCCCCCCTGTGACCGCTGCCACCTTCCGCCTCTCCTTGCAGTTTCGGCCCCGAGTCCCCGTCATCTCCCGACAGCAGTGCCGCGTCTACCGGGAAGCAGCCACCAAGTAACCACTTGTCCTCGTACACGGAGTCCACGTCAGTGGATCAGCGCGACAGCTCCCGAGACCGGCGCAGCTCCAGCGCGGACCGCTCCAGTTCCGAGCTGGAGTCCACAGATGGCCCAGAAGGGCCACCTCCGTTAGACGCGTGCCCAGCAGAGAGAGAGGATGACTTTTCCTTCATCCATGTAAGCCTGAAGCTGGGGGGGTGGAAGCAGCCATTTCTTATTTTTAAAGGAAGCCGTGGCCTATGCACGATCACCACCCCACCGGGATGGGGGCCATATGCCAAGAACCCGTGTGGTGGGCACGGGACACAGCCTTAGGTAGGGACCCTCCTTTAGCATAGGACGGCCCCAGACTAGCTGTGTGGCTTGAGACCGATGTCCTCACCTCTCTGATCCTCAACTGCCTTACTCACTAGTAACTAGCACATCCGGCTCCACGGCTTCAGAGGTGATCACAGGCACCCAAGGCACAGCTTGCCGTGAGCGCTCACAGGTCTGCCTGCGGTTTGCAGTTCCTGGCTGTGCGCAGCCCGGGACAAACACAGAGAAGAGCCTCTTCAGGTCCTCACTCAGCAGAACGTGGGCACCAAACATGGAGGGCTCTCCGTGACAGCTGTTCCAGGCGCAGGTCCCCTTCTGGGGGTTCCCCCAGAACCGAGCTTGCTTAGGCTCCACACACAGTCACCCCTCAGGTGCCCACTGTCCTGAGCCACAGTGTCCTGCTGGTTCTGCTGTGGGTTCTTCAGGACCAGAACTGGACTCCACCCTGCTGCGGAAGCCCTAACCTCCAAGGAGGATAGGAACCATCACTGTAGCCTACAAGGGCCCCTCACTCCTCATGGCCAAGCCCCTGACCTCACTCTTGGGAAGCTGGTGCCCCTGAGGGGCTTCTAATAGGCCTCCCAGGGGACCCACAGCCTACACACAGCCAAGGTCTTTCCTCTGGCATCTCTAGATCAGAGGTGAGACAAAAAGACCTCAGATGAGTCTTCCAGGACACTGCCATGTGAACAGGCATGGCGCCCATCTCTCTGGGTGTTGTAAGGATGTCAGTAGGTGATGCGATATGCCATTCACTCAGCAATCATGCACCGAGGTCTCACTATTGCCGAGCCTTGCTGCAGCTCATGTGTGTGTATATGGTATGTGTCACATGACACAGATGTCTCGCTGGACATTCCTTTTTGAACCCCGAGCATTTCCTCTTAGAACCCATCCTAAGCAACAATGTCGACATCAGCAGCCCCCGGTCCCTGGTAGCTGGCTCCATCTCATGCCCATACTGATAACCAAGGGGTAACATCCCCTGCCTGCCTTTTAGATTAGCAAGTTGACATGGCTGCTGAGTCTGCCCGTACACAGGCTGGTGGCCCTAAGTATGAGGTAAACTGAGGTCTTTGTGGGATGCCACCATGACTTGGGTATCCTGTGGGGACCATTTGGAAGCTGATCAGAGAGATGTCCCAGGGTGGCCCTGTGAACATGGAAGTTCACCCTTACTGGTGCTCTGTAGGTGGTCCCTCCCCTGCCACCTGCACTCTGGATTATCATGGGGGTCCCAGTGAGTACCTCTCGGCTCAGGGACTCCATGAATATGGTTGTCATAAAGACAGATGCACTCAGCAATGCATTCAACAGACAGAAACCAGGCATGGATTATGCTCCTGGTATATACTTGCCCCCATGCCTGGGTGATGTCACAGGCTGTGTGCCATTTGTCCCGTGTGTCAGTGCCATTCTTGGGCACTTCCTGCATGATTTCCATGGGGAAGTTGAGGCTAACGGCGTCGAGGGTGCCATTGGAGCATGGCACACCAGCCCATGCATGTGGTGACATTGTGTTCCCCAAAATATTGTGCACCCTAATAAACTTATCTGGGGTCAGAGAACAGAACAGCCACTAGATACAGAGGCCAGAAAATGGTGGCACTCACACCTTTAATCCTATCACTTAGGAGGCAGAGATCCCTCTGTGAGTTCAAGGCCACACTGGAAACAGCCAGGCATGGTGACTCATGCCTTTAATCCCAGGAAGTGAGGGCAGGAAGCAGAAAGGTATATAAGGCGTGAAAACCAGGCACTAGAGCTGGTTAAGCTTTTAGGCTTTTGAGCAGCAGTTCAGCTGAGATCCATTCTGGATGAGGACACAGAGGCTTCCAGTCTGAGGAAACAGAATCAGCTGAGGAACTGGTGAGGCGAGGAAGCTGTAGCTTGTTCTGTTTCTCTGATCTTCCAGTGTTCACCCCAATAACTAGCACCAGTTTGATTTTATTAATAAGAACTTTTAAGATTCCTGCTACACATGCACCCCTGAGAATACTCTGTGTATGAACAAGACTGCACACAGTCCGTGGGTGGTGCTTTGCACTGACGGTTTCCTCCCCACCTCCTCCTCGCCACCCCCAAAGCAAACCTCCGTCCTCGACTCCAGTGCCCTGAAGACCCGGGTGCAGCTGAGTAAGCGAAGCCGTCGCCGGGCTCCCATCTCCCACTCGCTCCGGCGCAGTCAGTTCAGTGAGTCTGAGAGCCGGTCCCCTTTGGAAGAGGAGTCGCACAGCACATGGATGTTCAAGGACTCAACAGGTACGACCACGCCTTCCCCTCGACCTGCATACCGGTAGCTCTGGGCGGGCAGGCTTCAGGTTAGACCCTGGGAAGAATGACCCATTCGGAACGCTGGGGCACAGTGACCCAGGAAGCTTGTTCTGTAGAACTGGTTTCTTGTTCTGTAGAACTTGCCATAAGTGGGGTTTTAAATGTGTTCTGAATCCGTGTGGGGTAGTGCCTTTCTGTAATCCTAGCGGTTCGGGAACAGAAGCAGCGAGATCTTCATGGTGCAAAGCCAGCCTGGTCTACAGAGTGAGTTCCAGGCCAGCTGTGATAACGTGACTCTCTTTAAAAAACCAAAGGGCAGCCGGGCGGTGGTGGCCCACGTCTTTAATCCCAGCACTCGGGAGGTAGAGGCAGGCGGATCTCTGTGAGTTCGAGGCCAGCCTGGTCTACAGAGCGAGATCTAGGACAGGCACCAAAACTACACAGAGAAACTCTGTCTCAAAAAACAAAACAAACAAACAAACAAACAAACAAAACAAAAAATTAAAAAACCCCCAAAACAAAGGGCAGACAGTAGTGTGACCAAGTGTGGCCTCTGACCAGATGCCTGAATGAATACTTGGGCTGGGGTCATTGCATCTCATGGTCCAGCCGTGTTAGCGAATGAAGGTTAAGTGTCTGTTAAGGGCTGGGGAGGTGTGTAAAGAGCTTGTTTGACAAGCACCAGAACTCAAGTTCAAATCCCCAGCACCCCTGTACTCGGGTAACCCCAGCCTTGAGTAAGCAGAGGCAAAAGCATCTTGAGGGTTGCTGGCCAGCTCTTCAACTGACTTGGTGAACTCCAGATCCAGTGAGAGAGACTGTCTCAAAGAATAGCATGAGGAGAGATTGATGCAGATGTCCACCCTCAGTCTCTGACCTCCATGTGCATGCACACACACACACACACACACACACACACACACCTCCACCCCCCAACACACACACATACCTCCACCCCCCCCCACACACACACTGGTACCTACACATGAACACATGCACATGTACACAAACTCAATCAGTAATAAATAGGTGAGTGTCTGCAGGGCCAGAACTATGCCGAGCCACCTGGAGCAAATGCAGCCCACCATAGGAACACGCAGGTTCCCTCACAGGGACCTGTCAGCAGAACCTGTGGCTTCCAGAGCCCCGAACACATGGCCAGGGGATACAAACGGCTGGGGCTGACCTTTCTGGGCATGCCCAGTGTCCAGCTGAGTCTGGGGCTCCAGAGGACGTGCTGTGCTCTACCGATGACCAGTTCTTAGGAAGCCAGAAACTCCTTATCTACCACCCCATCACCAGGAAGCCTCTAGCCCAGCCCCTGACTTGGGTAGTTCTCTGAAGAGACCCTGGAGCACTCCACATTGCTCCTGTTGGTGGGACATGTCTCTGTCACCCGTTCTGCCTCTGTCAAGGATGTCTTATTATTCCTCCAAAGTGGCAGGAGCCAGAGGAGCCTATGCCCTCCCCGAAAGGAGGTGATCTGCTTGTGGCCGTGTTTCCAGGCAGGTGGCGGTGTCTGAAGAAGAGAGTGGGAAGCCCCTGCCCAAGTACAGATGGACCAGGGGTAACCTGGTCCTCATGCATGACCCAGAGCCCTTCTCTTAATAGAAGAGAAGTCGCCCAGGAGGGACGAGTCGGATGAAGAGCCGCCCAAGGTGGAGAGGACCCCTGTCAGCCATCCGCAGAGGATGCCTGTGTTCCCAGGCATGGACCCAGCTGTGTTGAAGGTACTGGGGTTTCCCGGGGGCAGCCTGCTGAGTGAACACCTGTACCCCTCTCCCCCTTCCTGTCCACCCTCGCTTCTGTCTGTCCCTCATGACCCAGCCAACGCCTTTTCTCCTCACTCCCTCCATCTGTCCATTATTTGGCCTCCCTCCCTCCCTTCCTGTCTATTGATCATTATTGAACGGCCTCCCTCCTTCCCTTCTGCCCACTCCCCCTTCCACGGCACATCCGTTTAACATCCTCCTGCCTCCATCTGCCATCGGAATGCTGGGCTGACAGGATGTGACACTGCCCAGCTTCCCCCAGAGGAATCCTGTCCACACGGTCTTCAGTCACCCCTTTCCAGCCCGTTCCCCAAAGTCGGGGTGGGGGGCAGTCGCCCCTGCCGCGTGCTTGTGGGACTCGGGTGTCACAGGCTTCGTGTCACTATATAGATGCGGGAGTGATTTTGTTGGAGCCTCCCCTGGGACGAGGCTGTCGACCTCTCAGTCCCCATACTTCCCACCTGGGTCACTCTGTAGCTCCGATTCCCCACTGCTCTGTGAGGTGTCGCCGTGGGACCGCTGCTAGATGGGACTTGTCCCCAGACAGCTACACTGGGCCCTCCTCTCTCCCCAGGCTCAGCTCCACAAGAGGCCGGAAGTGGACAGTCCTGGCGAGTCTCTCAGCTGGGCACCCCAGCCCAAGACCCCGAAGTCGCCCTTCCAGCCTGGGGTGCTGGGCAGTCGGGTGCTGCCTTCCAGCACAGACAGAGACGAGAGGTGAGGACGGGGATGCTTCCGAGTGCTGTGTGCTGTGTGTGGGTTTCAGATGGGGGTGCACTCTGTACTCAGCTACAACTGCAGCCCGGGGGGGGAGACAGCAGGAATCTCAAGGCCTCTCTTCTCCCTCCTCCCACACCTGACCCAAAACTCCAGGCCACATTTCCAGGAACCCGTGCCGGGTACAGCCCTCTGTAGATAGTTGGACACGGAGGCACCTTGCCTCCTCTTATGTTTGGGGAGCACCTGTATCTTGGGAGAGTCAGGAGGCCTAACCAGTCCGCTGCCCTTCATGGAGGAGGCAGCTGCTCCACCCCCGTCAGGCTGATTCTGTGCACAGATGAGACCCATGTAGCCCAGTTTCAGCTCTCAGGCCGGAGCTGATGGTGGCCCTGCTGTGAAGTGCCCTGTGAGCTGAAAAAGCCACGTGACCATGGCATGCCTTACTTTCTTCATCTGTGAAATTGGTTTGGTGACCCTGTGACCTCCAGGGGTAGCCATGAAGTTGAAGCGGTAACTGTGTAAGAAGCCCTTTCCTTGGCCCAGTGTATAAAAGTCTCATCTTGGAGATAGGTTGTGCTAAGTTAGGGCATAAAAATCAGGACTCCTGATGTAGGGGTGTAGGGCAGTCATGCTGCAGGAGAGCAAAAGTCAGCAGACTGCAACCCACAGGCTCTTTCCGGCCCTCTGTCTGCTCTAGTCAATAAAGCTTTATTGACATTAGCCATGGCCATTCTGTTATCCTCTGTCTGTGGCTGTTGCCATGTTAAAACCTAAGACAGTCTGTAGCTCCCAGCTGGCCACATTTACTCCCTGGCTCTGTGACCCCTGCAGGCAGAAGGGGCTGACAGCACATACCTGAGGAGGAGGGTGCCCAGAAAGGCCTCCCTCCAGGAGATATACTTTTCCTGAGTCTTGATGATTAGTTGGGCCTCACGGTATGATGAGAGAATTCCAGGTACAGCTCTGCTGTGTGCTCAGGGCCTGCTAGCAGGGCATGTGACCAAGGCACAGAGACGGTCTTGTGGGGGGAGAAAGGCAAAGTCAGAGCAAGGCAGCTCTCACAGAGGTGTGCTCACTGTCCTGGGAATGGAGGGGGGGTCCTAGAGGCATCTGTGGACCTGGGCTTGGGCCTCCTTCTCTGCCATCAGGCAAGGCTGGGCCTGAAGTCTGGGGACCCTGAGCAGTCTGTCTCATTTCAAGGCCAAGGGACAGATCATGCTGAGGGATCATGCTGACTTCACACCTCCAAGTCACCTCATCCATTATCCCTGCACTGCCCAACCATGTCAGCAACTTCCCTAAGCCCTGCCTGGGCCAGGGGCTCTCTCTGTGGGACTGTAAAATAAGTCAGCTGCACACATAGACAGACAGATAGACAGACAGACAGACTCACACAGAGGCAGGGCAGCATGGCAGACGGAGGGCTGGAGGCCGTGTTGCCCTGCCCTGGAGGAACCAGGGTGTGGTTCTCCCTGGACTTAGACAGGCGTTGTGGCTTCAGGTCAGAAGAGGCCTCACCCCAGTGGCTGAAGGAGCTGAAATCCAAGAAGAGACAGAGCTTGTATGACAGACAGAGCCTGTATGACGACAATCAAGCTTGACCAGGTAGGACCCTGGGGATGGAGTGGGGGGGGGCGGGCGTGCTGAGGCCCCTGGGGTCTGGGAGCCTCAGGAGGGAGGCGGTCACAGAAAGGTGGGTGTTCTAGATTCCTGTAAAGAGCCTGGCGAAGGGCATTTGTAGTTGGAGTTTTCTCTCCGGGGCCCGCCAAGCCCTGGCAATCCGACAGCCCACTTATAAAATAAACACACAGACACTTATATTATTTACAAACTGTATGGCCATGGCAGGCTTCTCGTTAACTGTTTTTATATCTTAAATTAATCCATTTCTATAAATCTGTACCTTGCCACGTGGCTCATGGCTTACCGGCATCTTCACATGTTGCTTGTCATGGCGGCGGCTGGCAGTGTCTCCCTCCGCCTTCCTGTTCTCTCAGTTCTCCTCTCTGTTAGTCCCGCCTATACTTCCTGCCTGGCTACTGGCCAGTCAGTGTTGTATTTGTTGACCAATCAGAGCAACACACTTGACATACAGCCCATCCCACAGCAGACATCAGGTAACCGGGGCTCTGACCTCAAGACCTTGACTTCCCTGTTGCCCTCCAAGCCCCTGGGAAAGGCAGGGACATGAAAGGCCGGCTTAGCCGGAGAAGTTTCAGAGGTTTGCATAGGGAAGTCTGTAGTGTGCAAGCTGTGTGATTAAACTTTAATTGGAGACTGTTATATAATCCGTCCCTTGGTATCCACCTGAGATCCATTCGAAGGCTCCACTGCACCAAGATCTGAGGACCCTAAAGTGCTGGGTGTGAAATGTCTGTGGTCTGCGTAGAACCCCCACATCCTCCTGAGCACTTAAGTCGTATTTATTGTTATATAAGCACGTGGTGTGTGAGGGCACGTGTGTCATGGTGCATGTGCAGAGAACAGTTCTGCGGAGTCAGTTCTCTCCTTCCACATGTATGTGGGACCCAGGGATTTGAACTCAGGTCTTCAGGCTTGCCTAGCAAGCCTCTTTACCCCCTGAGCCATCTCGCCGGCAGCCCTTGAAGTCACCTGGATGACTTCTGACACCTCATACAGTGTGTGCCGGTGGGGTGGTCTTGTCAACCTTGCTGTTGTCTAGGCGATGCTGTCACATCTGCACATGCTCAGTAGAGGTGCATCATCACTGTGGGGTTGGCTGACCGTGCAGATTGGGGGTGGCCAGGCAGGTAGGGCTGAGTTTACTTAGAAGTCATGCACTCAGATTGCTGCGTGCTCTGCTGTCTTCACCTGCAGAGGTGGGGTCCCTCGGCTTACCTGAGAATGTAAGAGATGGGGGGAGTACTACTGTGCCCCCACATGGAGAGTGGGGTGTGTACTGTAGAAGCTGGCCTGGGTGTGCTCAGGAGAGGCCTAACCCCTGAATCACAAAAAGCAAAGCCCGGCCTGAGTGGACGTGGTACTGTTTGGACTCTGCAGGCCCCACCCTGTTGGTCTGTTTTGGGGTGTTTCTGGGGTGGGGTGGGGGGCACTCCCTGGAGCTCAGAGTCTCATGCTAGGCCAGTGCCCTGCAGATGCTTCTCAGGGCTCCCCCGCTCCAGCACTGTCTGTCGAACTCTAGATGAGGCTAGACCATTCCCAGCAGACTGTGCGTTTGACTGCGGGGGCCAGAGGGGGAGTTGCAGATATGTATACAGCATGCGCCACATGTTTACATATATGGATGGACAATGTGTATATATATGGTATATATATATATATATATATATATATATATATATATATATATATATATATATATATATATAAAATCATAAATCCAAAGGACGAATAAATTCCCAAGCAAGGCTACTCCAGGGTGGTGGTGGAGGGTTTGGACGGGGTCTTGTCTGGATTCCATGTTGCTCAGTGCTGGCATGGAGTTCAGCATACGTGCAAGCACACACAGGGTGCTGTTCTGGTCCCCACGTGCCCTGTGCTTATGACCCATCCTCCCGAACAGTCCTTGCTTCGTGGTGAGTGTCCAGAGCCGTCTGTTGTGATTTTGAAATCGGTGATACAATCTCCAGCAACCCCACTGGAGGAAGTTAAGGCTCAGGAGGTGATATTGCAATTGGCTCATTGCAGCTGGTCAGAATGTCTGCCCCGTGCCTCACTAAGCCCCTCCAAATCCTTCCCTGGGGGTGGTGACACTCAGGAGGTGCAACCCAGGGCCTCCTGCACCATCGGGGTGCACCTGAGCCCCAGCATAGACCAAATGCCCTGCTAACCAAGGACTGTCCTCTCTCTGCAGACGGGACATCACTACACCCATAAACTCAAGCCTTAACCGCCGGACGTCAGAACCCGAGGCCAAGCCACCCGCTCCTCCCTGGCCAAGCTCACGTGCCTGGGCCTTTCCGCCCTGAAGACACTGTGCTGAGCCCCATGTGGGTCCCCACAGGAAGACCCTGCCCCAGGACCCGCTCCAATCCCCAGAAGGATCTTCCAGCTCTCCTTGCAGAAGTGGATTGGCCTTTGGTGTGACAGTATGGCCTCTGCATACACCTCACAGGACCCTCTCAGCTGGAGAAGAGACCCTCCCTGGGCAGCCCTTCTGGAAGGACTTGGACAAGCAAGCTTGAAAGGCTCTCAGATGGCCAGGGTCACTGTCCAAGCATTACACCGGTGTCTCCCGGGTTTTGATTTTTTTTTTTTCTTCTTTTTGACGGGCTCCTCTTACCCCACTTAGAGCCTGTGTTCATATTTATAAGCACACACCCAACACCCCCGCCCCGTTCTGTCCGTACACTTACTCTCCCTGTGGGGCCGTGTGCATAGTTGGCCCGTGTCTCGCAGCTTCCGTGGTTGCTTTAGAGGGGGATAAAGCAATAATGCAGCCAATCTTCTTTGAAACTTGACGTGCGCCTGTATCTCGGCATGGACAGACAGCGGGAAGGGACGGACAGTGTCCAGTTGCCTCAGGTCGTCTGACCCCTGTCCACGCCTGTGAACGCGTGTGAGTCTCACCCTTGTCCAGGTCTGGGTGGCTCTCCTGATTTTTCCTGATTTCCTCCCCCTCAGTCCCCAGTGTTACGAACCTCAGTCTGAATGGTCCGTGCCTTGGCTGCTCGCATACCAGACCTGATCCGGGCGTCTTTCCTTCTGATCTTTTCTGAACACCTGTGTCCTGCTGGAGTGAAGCCCCAACTAAGTCAGCTCAGACCGGACGCAGCCCCACCCCTGCCATCCGTGACCTGCCTGGCCAAGGGATGGTCCAGGCCCATCTGGATGCTGATCTAACTGAAAGGCTCCTGCAGTGGGAGCCTAAGGCCGGATCCTGGGCCACAAGGTCTACGATGCCCTCCTTCGCATTCTGCTAGCTGAATGCTCACTCCCGGGAGTCTCAATCCTTCTGTTCTCTGGACACCCACTCGGTCTCCTTTCCTTTTGGAAGTCCTCAAGGCCACATCAGAAGCTCCAGCCCCAGCGGTCACCCCAGACATGCCAGGCCAGCCGCCCACTGTGCCAGCAGCTTCCAGAGACCTTTCTCCAACCTTGCCTTGGTGACATGCTTGTGCAGTCCCAAGGTGGTCCGTGGCTGTGGAGGGCCCTGGGTCGGGTGTTCTGATAGATGCCTGCCTGGCACTTGTGCCCACCACTGCCCTGACGTTCTCAGCGGCAAAAGTCGCTCTCTGTAAATCCGTTACTTGCCAATGGTGTCAAGACCTGTTCTCTCTGTCTTCCCACCTCAGCTCCTCTCTTATCCACCCTCTCTGCTGGCTTTCCTGTTGGAAGGGTGTGGTGGGAAAGGGTGGCAGTATTTGATATCATTGGGTTAGGACAGTCACCTGTGCCTGGGGGCTGAGGTGTTCAACACCAAGGAGACTGCAGGCCCCACCTGCACCCTATCTGCAATCCCGTCTGCACCCCCCTGCACCTACCTGCACCCCCATCTGTACCCCCCTGCACCCATCTGCACCCACTTGCACCTCCACCTGCACCCCCCTCCACCCATCTGCACCTACCTGCATCCCCACCTGCACCTCCACCTGCACCCATCTGCACCCAACCCTGTGCTCTGGCTACTGACAAGAGCATAATGTTCACATTTTCTGCATTCTCTACCTTCCCTGAGCTAGTGGTGAGTGGCATCCCTGAAATCACTTGGGGCTCAGCCTCCCTGCAGACGCTTCCATAGTTCCGTTTTCTGTGTTATGTTTTTGGATCCGTTTTGTACGCTGCAGCACTTTTGATCTGGTAGTGGCTTGCCCGGGAGTCCCTTTAAAACACACTAGCAGGCCTGAGGGGGTGGATCAGTGGGTGGAGTGTGTGCCCAGCACACAGGAGGTCCTGGGTTCTGTCCCCAGTACCACATAAATCGAGTGCGGTGGTACATACCTGTGATTCTAGCACTTGGTTGAAAGGAGGAGGGTTGGAAGTTCAAGGCCACATAAGAGAGTTGGAGGCCAGCCTGGGCTGTAAATCTGCTCATACAACAACAACCAAAAACCCTGCAACATTCTCCTCATGCTTTGACCCTAACTTCTCCTGACTCCTTCCTTTGTCCTGGGCGTAAAGAAGCCCACGGTGACAGGAAGTGTTCTGTCTTGAGTATCGAAAGGCGGTAGTGGAATCAAAGTGACCTTCCCTGTGTGTCATTACCTAACTTCCCGTGCTTGATTGATGAGAAATCAGTGTGATTCCACAGGAAGACCCACGCACTGACCCCCCAGAACCCAAAATCTGACAATCTCGCTGGGTCGGGAGTGACCCGTCTGGTGCCAGTTGGCCACGCCCCCTGTTTAGAGTTGACACAGTGCAGGGAGCAGAGGTCCGAGCAGCTGGACCCTTGAGTGAGTGACCCATTTAGTTTCCTTTTCTAAACCAGGTAACGACTCTGGGTGACTCAGTGTGCTGTATGCTACTCCTTGGGTTTCTCTAGGACCCTCCTCTTAAAGGAACCTAAGATGCCTTAAGCGTGTGCAGTTTAGACATCTGCATCTCCCCAAGCCCCCGCTTCCTGGTAACTCTGGCCGTGTGCACAGTCCCACGCATGCTCCATATGACCTCCTCTTTGCCCATTATCATGTTGACATTCGGCCTTTGGAAACCACCCCCACTCCCATAGGTAGGTGGTCTCCCACATTGTCTCTGGCCTCACACGCAGAGGCCTTTGTCCTGTGAAGTCATATGGCACTGTGGGGAGTCCTCAGCTCCCGCAGAGAACCAGGTGGTCCTGGGGACTTGGGAGCCTAGTGTGAAATTTATCTGATGGCCTCATGTTGGGTGGAATGCAGGGACAGACAGGACCAGAGGGGTTTGTCTTGGAGAGGAGCAAGCCAGATTTCTGCCTAGATGCACATTTTCCTCCTTCAGTGAGACCACCCCTAGGAATAGGCCCAGGTCCTCAACCTTAGCTGCTGAGCAGAGATTGGAAAAATCCTAGTGTGGTTTCCCTTAGGGAAACCCAGCCAGTCGTGGGGGGCGGGGGCAGGGGGTTGGGGGCAAGACCTGCTCTGTCAATCCTGGCTTTAACAGGCACCTCCTGGATCTAGGCTTGATTGAAAATTGAAAAGCCACGCCTACCCATGTTAATATTCAGGCCCCGGAAAGTCATTTTCACAACAGAGATGTTGTGCCCTCCAAATGTGCCTTTGCCCCACCATGTGTTGATAGGGAGCTGATCTCCAAATATCTGGGTTTCCGACCTTGCTGGGGATAGTCTTGAGGTGGAGGGAGCCCCAGGAGACTAGCAGGGCCCACTCCACACCTCTGAGTTTGCCTTGGCCTCAAGCCCCTCAGCGATAGAGGACACCATTGACATTTCAGGGAGGTCACGTTCAGGAAGGCTGAAGCCATGTCAGAAGGCAGCAGGAAGGATGAGGCTTCACTTGTCCCTGTCCCGTGGCCCCCATTACACCTCAGAGCATCCTTTTGTCTCTGTAGCTCCCACAGGAAAAGACACTTCACAGCCTGCATCCTTTACCCTCCAAGAGTCTCCTTAAACTGTTCATGTCACCTGTGCCCTGACAATCGCTGGCAGTACCGAGCCAGCTAGAATCTCTGCTGTCCTCTAAAGGACAATCCACTCTTTTTAATGTTCTGGTCCCGTGTCGCCTTACAGATCTTGTTATATGGGGCTCACAGAGGTAATATATTGATATACGGAAGGCATTTGTACCAAGTTGTTTCTTATTCTGTTCAAAGAGTGATCGTGGTCCTCAAACATGCTTTGTATGCTGGGGCGGGAGAGTGGAATGATATATGTGACTATAGGGTATATTTTCCTAACTGTTCTTCTGGGTCCCGCCTGGGATGTTGGCGACATGGTCGGGAAGGACTCGCAAGATGCACGTCCTGTCTGTGGCAATTCTGACAGCTGCCTTACCAAGCCACAAGCTGCAAGACTTCTGGAATGACGGCGGCGGCGGCGGCGGCGGCGGGCAGGGCGCTGCGGCCAGTCCCAGGAAGGACCTAACTGCGTGACTGAGAATTCATCTATAAAAACCTATATTTTTACTGTCAAAACAAATGGGGTTTCCCGGACTCCGCAGTGGCCGGATGCCCCCCACCCCCCCGTGCTTTTATATTTTGTCACCGTAGGAGGTTTTCTGGCACAGACAAGCAGTCAGGAATCCAGCTGACTGCATCAAATGGGGTGAACTCTGCATGTGCAAACGGGGCACACCCAGACTCCAAAAATAGTAAATAAAGCCCTCACAGCGGTTGTGCTGTCAAAGCCGCGTGTCCTCGAGTGAGCGACGGGGTGGGGGTGGGGGGCTCCTGGGTTGACAGGGTCTTCCACACGGAGTCAGGCTGACTTTTGTACCGAGCTGTGTCCAGGCAGCAGGAGGGAGCCGCAGACAGGTGGCCGCCCATCATGGGAGACATGGACACGAGACCGTGACCACTGAGGCCCCAGAGAGTGGAATCCTCACCCCGCCCCCTCCCAGCTGCAGGCGCGCTCTCTCTCTGTTGTTTCTTCTTAGCAATGAAATGAGGGCTGGTGATGGCAGCGTCTGTGGCAAGAGTTACGGTGGGGTGATAGCCAAGAGCATTGCCCACAGAGGCCTTCGGCAATGGTGGAAACACTCTTGGTTATTACAGGAGGTAGGAGATTCTGGGGCCTTTGGTGAGTAGAGACCAGGAGTGCTAATCAGCAGCCTACCCAATGATCATCAGTAATGTACCCTAGATGGCAAGTGCTAGATAACCCAGGGAAGTTAATCAGCAACCCACTCAATGATGCCTAGTTGATAACTTACCCAGGGATGGCAAGTGCTAGCCTATTCAGGGAAATTAATCAACAGCCTATTGCATGATGCTAGTCAATAACCTACCCAGGGATGGAGTTGATAGCCAACCTAGATATGCAACAACCACCTACCCAAGGATATTAATGAACAGCCTACTCAAGGATGTTAATGAATAGCCTACCCAAGGATGGTAATATCAATAACCTAGCCAGGGATGGTAATAACTCAGCTGTTTCAGTTTCCTCTCTGTTGCTGTGAAGAGCCCCACCCCCAAAAGCAACGTAAGGGAAGAAATGTCTATTTGGCTAACACTTCCACATCACCATCCTTCAGTTGAGGGACGCCAAGGCAGGAACTCAGGCAGGAATTTGAAGTAGAAACCATGGAGGATGCTGCTTGCTCATTTGTTTTCAGGCTCATGCTCAGTTAGTCGGGACTACCTGACCAGGAATTGGTGCTGCCCACAGTGAGCCAGGGCCTCCTGTGTCAATTAATACTCAATTAACAATTAATACAGTTCCCTACAGAGATGGCCATAGGCCATCCTGGCCTGGACCATCCCTCAAATGAGACTCCCTTCTCAGATGGCTCTATGTTGTCTCAAGCTGACTAATTAGGACACCATCCAAGGATGCTAATCAACAGCCTACCCAGGGATGCTAATAGATAACACATCTTGGAGGCTGATCGACCGTCTTCTCAGGAATACTACATTAGTCAGTGTTTCCTAGAGGATGGAACTGATAGAATGAAAATATACTCAAAAGTCATGTGTAAGGTTGCCTATCACAATATGACCTGGGCAACCCAACATTAGGTGTCTTCACGCTGGAGAAGCTGAAGATGGGTACTCAGTCTGCAAAGCTGGACACCGCAGTGATCCCTGTCTGGAGCCGAAGGCCTGGAGGATTGCTGGAAATTCGCCAGTCTTCGGTGAGGAACGGTGATGGCTGTGCCACAGAGCAGCCGGCAGGTGGATGCACAAGCTCGTCCCTTAGACATACTTCTGTGCAGGCAGCTCATTTTGAAGGTGGGTGTCCTAATCTCATCTCTGTTGATGTGGTAAAACACCCTGATGAGAAGAGGCTTGGAGAGAAAAGGTTTGACTTACAATCCCGGGGTCAGTCCATCAATGGGACAGCCTTACAATCCCGGGGTCAGTCCATCAATGGGACATCCTTACAATCCCGGGGTCAGTCCATCAATGGGAATGTCCTTACAATCCCAGAGTCAGTCCATCAATGGGAATATCCTTACAATCCCAGAGTCAGTCCATCAATGGGACAGCCTTACAATCCCAGAGTCAGTCCATCAATGGGACAGCCTTACAATCCCAGGGTCAGTCCATCAATAGGACATCCTTACAATCCCAGGGTCAGTCCATCAATGGGACTGTCCTTATAATCCCAGAGTCAGTCCATCAATGGGACATCCTTACAATCCCGGGGTCAGTCCATCAATGGGACATCCTTACAATCCCAGAGTCAGTCCATCAATGGGAATATCCTTACAATCCCAGAGTCAGTCCATCATGGCAATGTCCTTACAATCCCGGGGTCAGTCCTTCAATGGGACAGCCTTACAATCCCGGGGTCAGTCCATCAATGGGACAGCCTTACAATCCCGGGGTCAGTCCATCAATGGGACATCCTTACAATCCCAGGGTCAGTCCATCAATGGGACAGCCTTACAATCCCGGGGTCAGTCCATCAATGGGAATGTCCTTACATTCCCGGGGTCAGTCCATCAATGGGACTGTCCTTACAATCCCAGGGTCAGTCCATCAATGGGACATCCTTACAATCCCGGGATCAGTCCATCATGGGAATATCCTTACAATCCCAGAGTCAGTCCATCATGGGACATCCTTACATTCCCGGGGTCAGTCCATCAATGGGACAGCCTTACAATCCCGGGGTCAGTCCATCAATGGGACAGCCTTACAATCCCAGAGTCAGTCCATCAATGGGACATCCTTACAATCCCGGGGTCAGTCCATCAATGGGACATCCTTACAATCCCAGAGTCAGTCCATCATGGGAATATCCTTACAATCCCAGAGTCAGTCCATCATGGCAATGTCCTTACAATCCCGGGGTCAGTCCATCAATGGGACATCCTTACATTCCCAGGGTCAGTCCATCAATGGGACATCCTTACAATCCCAGGGTCAGTCCATCAATGGGACATCCTTACAATCCTGGGGTCAGTCCATCATGGGACATCCTTACATTCCCAGGGTCAGTCCATCAATGGGACATCCTTACAATCCCAGAGTCAGTCCATCATGGTAATGTCCTTACAATCCCGGGGTCAGTCCATCAATAGGACATCCTTACAATCCCAGAGTCAGTCCATCAATGGGACTGTCCTTACAATCCCGGGGTCAGTCCATCAATGGGAATGTCCTTACAATCCCAGACTCAGTCCATCAATGGGAATATCCTTACAATCCCAGAGTCAGTCCATCAATGGGACATCCTTACAATCCCAGAGTTAGTCCATCAATGGGACATCCTTACAATCCCGGGGTCAGTCCATCAATGGGACATCCTTACAATCCCGGGGTCAGTCCATCAATGGGAATGTCCTTACAATCCCAGGGTCAGTCCGTCTACTGAGATGTCAGAACTTTGGCTGCTCACAGTCACAGTCAAGAGCAGAGAGAGATGGATGCACAAGTCTTTCTTGCTCCTGCTCAGCTCAGATTCAACTTTTATGTAGTTCAAGAAACCTTGCCTGGGGAATGGTACCACCTATACTTAGGGTAGGTTTCCCACATCAATAAACTTAATTAAGACAATTCCCACAGATGTGTCCATGGGCAACCCAGAGTAGACAATCCCTCACTGAGACTCTAGGTTTTGTCAAGTTTAAAATTAAAGCTAATCATTGCAATGGATTTTCCCACTTCAATTAACCTTATCTGGGAAATCCCTCACAGACATGCCCAGGGCTGACTTAATCTATATAAACCCTCACAGGTGTGCCCAGGGCTGACCTAATCTATATAACCCCCCACAGGTGTGCCTAGAGACTGACCTAGTCTATATAACCTCTCACAGGTGTGCCCAGGGCTGACCTAGTCTATATAACCCCTCACAGATGTGCCCAGGGCTGACGTAATCTATATAACCCCTCACAGGTGTGCCCAGGGCTGACCTAATCTATATAACACCTCATAGATGTGCCTAGAGACTGACCTAGTCTATATAACCCCTCACAGGTGTGCCCAGGGCTGACCTAATCTATATAACCCCTCACAGGTGTGCCCAGGGCTGACCTAGTCTATATAATCCCTCACAGGTGTGCCCACAGACTGACCTAATTTATGTAAGCCCTCACAGGTGTGCCCAGAGAGTGACAGTATAATCACAGGTATGCCCAGAGAGTGACAGTATAATCACAGGTGTGCCCAGAGGCTTGTCTTGTGACTGATTCTAGATCCTGTCAAGTTGACAATATTAACTAACCCTCATAGACGCTAATCAATAGCCTACCCAGGCATAGTGGTTATCTTAGGGTTACTATCACTGTGAAAAATCACCATGATCAAAAGCAAACGAGGGGGGGGGTGTTATTTCACTCACAGTTCCACAGAACAGTTCATCATCAAAAGCAGTGAGGGCAGGAACTCAGGCAGGGCAGGAACCTGGAGGCAGGAGCTGATGCAGAAGTCATGGAGGGCTGCTGCTCACTGACTTGTTCCTCGTGACTTCTCAGCCTGCTTTCTTGTAGAACCCAGGACCACCAGCCCAGGGATGACTCCACCCACCATGGGCTGGGCCCTCCCTTATCAATCATTAATTAAGAAAATGCCCACAGCCTCATCTTAGGGAGCCATTTTCTCAGTTGAGGCTCCCTCCTCTCTGATGACCAGCCAGCACCGTGGTGACCAGCTTTGGTAGAGATCCTGATCAGCAGGTTCCCACCCACCGACAGGGCCCCATGCTACCCTGGCTAAGAGCAGCGTGGCCCTGATGGCCGCAGTGCCGATGTTCAGAACTCTGGGTTAGGGAATGGCGGATGGAAGTGCGGAGACAGCAGAGAGCTTGGGACCCTGGAGGATCCAGGGGAGGGTGCCATGCTGTCCCCAGCACTGTCCTTTTCTTTGTATCCCAGCCAGTATTCTGGCTTCATCACCTGTGGCACAAAGTGGCCATTGGTGTGAACTATCATTGGTAGTCAGGGTCCTGGGGAGATGGAGTAAGGCAACGGCCACGTGGTGGCTGCTGGTCTTCACCCACTTGTAGAGAGCATCATGGTGCCGGAGTGTGTGGTGGTCTCAAACTGTCCGCCAGAATAAACTGTCCACCCTTGTTTCCGTCGGATACTTTGATCACAGTGTCAGTAGTAACTCACACATTCGTTTCCGGGGCCGGGGAGATGGCTAGGTACTCCGTGGGAAGCCAGTGGTGGCCGTGTGAGCCCCCGTAACCTCAGTGGTGTTGGGGGTGGAGACAGGAGGATTGCTGGGACTCAGTGAGGGACCCTGTCTCAAAGGAATAAGGCAGAGAGCGCCACAGCAGGACACCAGGCCCACTCAGCTACACGTGTACCAACTTGTACAGTACATACTCACACAGCAAAAACCCCAATCCTTTTGTGGCTATGACTGAGAACTCAGCGACTCACCCCTGGGGGGTCATGGGATCTGCAAAGTTCAGAGTTCAGGGGTCACCAACAACATCCCCAGGATCCAGTGATCAGGTCTTAGGCTGACTGGAGGACTTGAGACTGTAGCAAACAGCTCTGTGACCCTACGTAACTGGGGTGGCCTCTCTGAGCTCAGCTTCTTCACCGTCTTTAATATGGAGATGAAAATTCCTCCCCTAAAGACCAACATACCAGTCACAAAACCAAAAGTACGTAATAGGTCTACAATGGCAGCTATCACTCATACATGCTGCCCTCGTGAGGAACATGTCTTCACTGACGTCATAGCCTTTGGAAATGGCCGCATGGGTTTACAGGGGAATTTAGAAAATACATTTGTGGTAATCTGACTTCAATCCATTGGCCCAGCCCTTGGATTCAGGGGTGCCCTGATTCAAGGTCTGGAGCCTGTCTGGGATATTTTGAGAACTCTAGTAGGAAAACGGCGTCGAGAAGCCAAAGGGGAATCGAGGGTCACTAGAGGGATTTGTGCTCTGGGCCTCCCGTCTAGCCTGTTGGCCTCCCACCAAGTCAGCAAAGACCGTGGGTCCCTAGGGAGTCATCAGGGTTTCATCAGAGGTGACTGGTGTTGGGGGCCTCCCCAGGCTTACCATTAGGGTGAAATGACCCGGACAGGATCGGGTGGACAGGGTGCTTTCTCAGCAGGCCATGATGTGCTGGGCCAACAGAATACACCCATAAATAGGCCAGCCTTGGAGGCAGGCCAGTCTGGGGACAGCAGGTCCTGGAGGCAGGTTTGTTCCAGACTGGGTGAGGCAGGGGGATGTGCAACACGGTGCAGGGCGGGCCTAACCTCGTGTCTCTCTGGGTGTGCGTGGCTGGTGCGTGGCTCATTCGAGGGTAGGGGCTGACCTCCAGGACCCACAGCTGCCACTAAGCCTGGCCACAGATGGAGCTGATGACCTGTAGTGTCTGTGGGTCCCAGCTCTGTGTGTGGGGGCCGGGCCTGGGCTGCCAAGGACTGGGTGGCTTTGAGAAAGGGAAGAGACCCTCTGCATATACTGGGGCATCCCTATGAGGTGGGCCAAGCCCGTGCCCTGCTGATGCTAGTTAGATGTGTAGCAGAAGCCACTGGACATCATGGGCCTCAGGCAGGTCGTAAGGGAGGTGAAGGTCGGGGGCAGGTGTGTGTGTGTAAGACAGCGTATGTGCACATGTCCATACATCCATGCTGGTGAGTAGAAGTCTGCAGAGCCTAGGTCCTGAGTCTCTGCACCCTGAGGCTAAGAGAGACCATCGGGGTCCACTATTCAAATGCCTGGAACACAGAGAGCATGCAATAAGTTTGTGGAGTGAGTAGCCAGCTTCGTGGCCTGGGATGATTTCACGGACCTGGCCCATTTCACAGCTGCTTGGTCTGTCACTGTCTGTTTCTCCTGTCTGCTGTTCACCCTGTCTGTGGTGTCCAGACCTGGGCACCGAGGCTGCAGAGAGCCCACAGAGATGTCCAGCCCTGGGAAGGGAGCATTTTGGTGTGTGGGGAAAGGCGCCGATCCAATCCGAGTCCTTTCTTCCTTGTGGCCTCAGTAGAGTGGTCTTGCTTTCCTGGGCCCCCGAGACTCCCCAATCCCACTAACTAGCCCAGATGCATGACCCAACGCAGGTGCTCAGGGGGCGTTTGCTGAATGACTGAGTGACTGACTTGTGATCTTGATTTGTGGTCATGAGACGTGGGCAGAAAGGGCCTCACTGCTGTTTGGTTCCAGCCACATCAGCGCCTGTTATTGCTGCGTGGAGCTGGTGACACCATTCCCCTCCAGTCTGAGGCAGAAGTGTCCCTGGAAAGATGGCAGAGCAGCATAGTACGCCTGAGCAGGCTGCAGCTGGCAAAAGCCACGGAGGCCTTGGGGGCAGCTACAAGGTACCAGGGTCTTGACGGGACCTAGAGCCCAGGGCTGAGGGCAGCGACGGACTCACTGGACTACAGGGGCACCAGGCTTCAAGGGATGTAGCTTCAAGCTCTGTCTTTCCTGTGTGACTTGGCTTGAGTGTCTTGATGTCTCCGGACGTTAACATCTTTAAAATGGAAGGGATGCCTGCTGCTGTGCTTGGCCCCAGAATTGTCATGAGATAAAACAGGTTGGAGTTTTCCATGACTGGAAGATGGGGGAAGTGTGACAGAGTTGCCTCCGTCCCTTCCAAAACCTGTTGGGGCTTCAGAGGGGACATCCCACGTGGATGGGGTGGGCATTTCTGAGGCTGCCCTGGCGTTATTGTAATTGCTCATGGTGGCCACCGGGGGGCGGTGTGGACCCGTGTGTGGACTCCCTGCCGTTCTGAGGAAGCTCCCGGCTTTTGGAGCTCCGCAGGGGACGAGGCTTTCACCTCTGTTCTTCCAGGTGATTGTGTATGAGTTAGAAAACTTCCAGGGCAAGCGATGTGAGCTCTCGGCCGAGTGCCCCAACCTCACCGACAGCCTGCTGGAGAAGGTGGGCTCCATCCAGGTGGAGTCTGGACCGTGAGTACCCGGGCAGTGCCCACTGCCCCAACCTCCTGCAATCTGAGGCCCCAGATCCGCCCTGGGCCCTGGGGCAACTCCCTGCCCTGCTGGGCCACGGTTTCCCCATCCATAAAATGACAGAATCCTGGCTTTCGATTCCTGTAATGTATGGCAGGAACAGGAAGGAGGCGCTAGCCGAGGAACCACCAAGTTAACACCAGCTGTATACAGTCATATAGATTAGGGGCTGGAAAGACGGCTCAGCAGTAAGAGCACTGACTGTTCTTGCAGAGGATCCGGGTTCGATTCCCAGCACCCACATGGCTACTCACAATTGTCTGTCTCTCCAGTTCCAGGGGACCCGACACCCTCTTCTGGTCCCTGCAGGCACCTTGCACGCAGGAGGGGCACAGATATGCATGCAGGCAAAACACCCACACAGATAAAAGTTTTGTTTTTTTGTTTTTCAAGACAAGGTTTCTCTGTGTAGCCCTGGTCATCCTGGAACTCACTCTGTAGACCAGGCTGGCCTGGAACTCACAGAGATCCACCTGCCTCTGCCTCCTGAGTGCTGGGATTAAAGGCATGTGCCACCATTACCACCCCATGAAAGTTTAAAAAAAAAATAGAAATGGTACCTACCATTAAATAGCTTTAGGAATTATTACCCTGTCAAGCTTCATATGAGTTTTATCACGAGGCCTCATCCTGTGAGAGCTGCACTCTTTTCTATAACTGGATAGCATCTCTGAGGAAACCGGCCAGGAAAACTAGGTGTCTGGAGCCTGCGCTCAAGGCAAGCAGGCCCCTCGCTGCCCACACTGAGCTCTGGCCTTCAGACTGAGTCCAGAGCTGGGACTTCCCGTTTGTGATCTCAGGCGGCATGTCTGCCAGCTCTGTCTCCTCATCTGAGGACAGAGATGTGGATTTCGGAGAGTGTAGGGGATGAGGTAGTTGATACTTACAAGGACAGAGAGAAGGGGGGGCAGGGAGGAGGGAGGAAGGGACAGGGCGAGGGGGATGAGGAGGAGAACAGCAGGACTCACCCGCGGATCATTTTTAAAGTTTTATTTAATTTGATATATATGAATGTTTTGCCTGCATGCATGTCTGTGCACCCAGTGTATGCAGTACCCTTGGTGGCCAGAAGAGGTCAGTGGATCCCCTAGAACTGGAGTTCAGATGCTCATGAGCTGTCATGTGTGTGCTGGGAGTTGAACCCAGGTCCTCTGTTACAGCAGCCAGTGCTCTTAACAGCGGAGCTATTGCTCCAGCCCCTCACCCAGGATCTTTTGCTCAGCCTGTGGCAGGCACTGCGGGGGACTTTACCTCCTCCCCCCACACACACCCAAACTTGGCCGCAGTGGATTCTCCCCGTGTCCTAGGATGGGTTTCTGGGCATCAGTCCCAAGCAAGTCCCCGCAGGCCCCTCACAGCAGCACAGGGGTCTGGACTGGGTTAGGGGTGAGGAAGGTCTTCTATTCCCATTCTTCCCCCTGCGTGTGGGTCCCTGCTCAGCCACACCAGAGGCGACCCTGTTCCTTCCCCCCTCAGGTGGCTGGCGTTCGAGCGCAGGGCCTTCCGTGGGGAACAGTTTGTCCTGGAGAAAGGGGACTACCCTCGATGGGATGCCTGGTCCAGCAGCCGACGCAGCGACATTCTCCTGTCCCTCAGGCCTTTGCACATTGTGAGTCGGGACCCGTTGCTACCCAAGTGTACGTGCGTGTGTGTGTGTGTGTGTGTGTGTGTGTGTGTGTGTGTGTGTGTTCGAGTGTATGTGTGTGCACCTAGCTTTGGCCAGTTTGGCCACTGTGATCCCTCCTGGACAGGCCTCGGATTTTTTTTTTTTTTTTTACCTCAACAATGGTGTGGGGTGAGAAGAAGCCGGCTCCCGAGTGGGCACGGGGGCAGGACACGAGGGTCCTTGTCCTGAACTGGCAGACATGACCCTGAACTCCTTCGTAGTACCCCAGTTAACCTGAGAAACCTCAAGGTCCAAGCTCAGATCAATGCTGTTCAAAGAAACACAGAACTTAGAAACCCAGAAAGTCACTCCAAGGCTGTTTTCTCTCTTCCCTGGTACTTCCCGACATGGTCCACGGGGACACTAAATCACCGGTGTCCCCAGCTCCTCCATCAACACAGAAGCCACCCAAGCCCTTCCTCCCGATGTCTGAACAGAGTTCTCAGACAACAGAGGAGGAGAAACCCGGAAGATGAGGCCAGAGTCAGCCTAGGAGAGGGGAGGCTGGGGCATGAGTCATTGGGGCCCCTCTGGGCCTCAGTTTCCCTTTCTGGTGGTGATGGCTGGTGGGAGGAGATCTGTTCAGCCCCCCTTCCTCCGCCTTGCTCAGCTCTGGGGTGTCTCTTGAGTTCCTCTCTCTTGCAGGGGGTTGGGGTGACTTGGTTCTTCCTGTTGTAGGTGTGTGTGTTGGGGGGGCTCCACTCACCCTTGACCTTTGCCCCCAGGATGGCCCAGACCACAAGCTGCACCTGTTTGAGAACCCAGCCTTCAGTGGGCGAAAGATGGAGATCGTGGATGATGACGTGCCCAGCCTGTGGGCCCATGGCTTCCAGGACCGTGTGGCCAGCATCCGGGTCATCAACGGGACGTAAGGGAACCCCCAGCCCCCTCTGCTCCAGCTCTACCCGCTGGCGGCCGCTCCTTTAGCACCAGCTCCACACACACGAGGGACTCAGCCCGCACTCTGAACCCATCCTCACTCAAAGCCCATGGGGTGGGGCATGATGGCCCAGTCCAGGATCCTACCATTCTGGAGGCAAGGCAGGAGGAGAGTTTGAAGGTGGCCTGGACTCCAGAGTCAGGTCCTGCCTCAAAAATCCAAGAACTGCATCACCAGCAAGGTGGCGCACACCTTTAATCCCAGCACTCGGGAGGCAGAGGCAGGTGGATCTCTGAGTTCAAGGCCAGCCTGGGCTACAGAGTGAGTTCCAGGACAGCCAGGGGTACACAGAGAAAACCTATCTTAAAAAACAAACAAACAGCCGGGCGGTGGTGGCGCACACCTTTAATCCCAGCACTTGGGAGGCAGAGCCAGGCGGATCTCTGTGAGTTCGAGGCCAGCCTGGGCTACCAAGTGAGTTCCAGGAAAGGCGCAAAGCTACACAGAGAAACCCTGTCTCGAAAAACCAAAAAAAAAAAAAAAAAAAAAAAAAAAAAAAAAACCAAAAAACAAAAAACAAAACAAACAGACTCCCAAGTCCAGGACAGCACTGTGCAATGTTCATAGTCTCCCTCCCTCTCTGTCTCTCTGTCTCTCTCTGTCTCTCCCTTCTCCTCCCTCTTCCTTTTGCCCCCTCTCTCCCACCCTTCCCCAATCTCTCTTTACTCCCTCCCTGCTCTTTGCCCCTCTCTCCCCCCCACCCCCGTCCCCTTCTCCTTACTCTCTGTCTCTCTCTCCCGCTTCCCTCCATGGGAATGCTCTCGCACCCCTCTGCTCCATTGACGGTTCTAGACAGCCTAGGCTCCCAGACAGTCTGGCTCTACTTCAGTCCAGTGACTCGACCCCACCGCATGGTCCCCACCCAGGTCTCCATGGCTATCCTAACTCCCCAGGCCTGGAACCGATTCTCAGAGTGACCTTGACCTCACGTTCTCTGTTATTATCAGGGGCCTGAGTGAGTGTAGTTATGAGCAGCCTTGCTATGTCAGCTGCTAATGTGACCTCGGGGCCACCGCAACCTCAGGGTCACCGCAACCTCGGGGTCACCTTGCCTTTCTTCTCCACCTGGGTTTGAACCTGCGACTGAGCCTGGAAAGATGACAGTGAGACCGTAGTCTGTGCCTTTCCCCTGAGCGTCAGGGATGGGGGTCCTGTGGTCAGTTAGAGTTGGCAGCCCTTCTGCTCAGGTGTGCCAGTCTGAGGGTGAGTGTGATGGGCACACTGGGGGAAGGTGTCTCTGTGAGTCCCAGGGGTATGTGTGACATTCCCCTCCACACACTCCAGGAGACAGGAGGTCAGGTAAGGAAGGACCCTGCAGTCAGAAGGAGCCGAGGTGCCGAGGCTCAGACTCAGCCTGGCGTGGGAGGTTGGAACGGTGCCGAGAGGTGGTGCAAGGGACGCTTTGAGAAAAGTAGATGGTTAGCCGCTCAGGAGCGCTGGGGAGCCAAGAGGGACTTGAGGCGGGTGGAGAGCATGGCAAAGGCAGGCTTTAAAAGGGCTGGGCCTGGCCCGAGTGGGGAGACAGGAGGAACATGCCTCACGTGTGATCCTCCGCAGGTGGGTGGGCTACGAGTTCCCCGGCTACCGCGGGCGCCAGTACGTGTTCGAGCGGGGCGAGTTCCGCCACTGGAACGAGTGGGACGCCAACCAGCCGCAGCTGCAGTCGGTGCGCCGCATCCGCGACCAGAAGTGGCACAAGCGTGGCTGCTTCCTGAGCAGCTGAGGACACGGACCCCAGGGCCCAGCGCCTGTGTCCCCCTCCCGCACCTACTCAATAAAGCCCACCAGCCACGCCGCTCTGTCTGCGTCACTTCCTGTGGTGGGGCTGTGGAGGCCAGTCTGGAGGGGCCCAGACCCGCAAGGAGGGGAGGAGGGTGTGCCTGGACCGCAGGTCCAGTCCTCTCAGCTGAGTCCACGGCCCCCTCTGCCACAGGTTGACTTCCACTACTAGTGCCTACATCTGAATAGCCGTCCATCTGTCCATTCATCCACTCACCCATCCATCCTTTCATATGATCATCTACCCACCCACCCACCCACCCACTTACCCACCCATCTACCCATCCACCACCCACCCACTCACCCACTCACCCACTCACCCACCCACCCATCCACCCATCCACCACCCATCCACCCACCCACCCATCCATCCACCCATCCACTCATCTGTCCATCCACTCAGCTAGCCAGCCAGCCACCCATTCATTCATCCACACATTTATCCATCTATTGACCCATTTATTTATTCATCCATCTACCCACCTACTCATGTATCCATTTACCCTCCCTTCCATCCATCTTCCTGTCTGTCTGCCCACCCATTCATCTGTCTATCATCCATCCATCTTTCCTCCCTTCTTCCCTTCTATATGTTCTTCTTTCCATCAATTCATGCATCCCTGTGACCACCCACCCACCCACCCACACATCCATCCATCCATCCGTCCGTCCGTTAGCTATCCACCCCCCCCACCCGTCAGTCAGTTCGTCTGTCCTTCCACCCTTCCTTCCTTTCTCCCACCCTTCGAAGCCTGGGTCATTTCTCTCTCCCCCATCAGGCAGTTAGCCCCATTGCCGCTCATTCTGAGGGAAGCAAGCCGCCTGAGTGCAGGGCTGCCCCAGCTGAAGCCATGTGCATTTGTAGAGACACAGAGGCGCAGAGATCTGGCCCGCACACCCCTGAGCAGACAGCTTTCAAGGGGGAAGACCGGGGCCCCTTGGCTGCTCTAACATCCACCATCCTGACACAGCGGGCCGCCGATGCTGTACCCCTGAGGCAGCCACGCCTGCACTCCCTGTGTGGCGGCGAGGATTCACTGTGCCCCAGGAATGGAGCCCCAAAGCTCTCTGCAACCATGGCAGCTGGCTCTGGCGTCTCCTGTTGAGGAGCTCATCAATAAACCTCACCCTAGCTGGTGCTTGAACAGCTGGGGGGTCCCTACCCCTTGGGTAGAACCTCCTTACCACCCTGGCAAATCCTGGCATCCACCAGGCAATTTCTCTCGTGGTGTTTGAACAAGTGCTTCTGGCTAGGGTAAGAAGAGGCCAACGTCCATTCACTCAGTAGTAACCGCCTAGCCAATGCTGAGCCAGTTAAAAATAGAAACTTAGGTCGGCCTCTGCACCCTGCCCCAGCCCTGTCAAGCCCTTGTGTTGCATCATTCTTTACACTATCTTCAAGGGAAGGCCTTTTGTATGTCTCACGCCTCTTCCCCAGCCCTGTGGAAGCCCTTAGCTACTGCAACATTGTATCACACGGTTCTTTACGCTGTAGTTCAGGGAAGGTCTTCTTACTGATTTAATTTGAAAATTTGTATGCAAGTGGGTTATAGTGGATTTTATTTCAAGAGACCAAGGGGTGTCACGAATGACAGGCACAGATAACAGTCCCTTTGGATAGATTTGAAAATTCCTCCCAACTGGATGATCTGAGAGGCCCTTTGACTCCTGACTGCTTTGCATCCAAGGACTACATTGTGTTTGTCCAAAAGGGGCACCAAGGTCTGCTGTCTTCACGGCCATGGGCATTGGTCAAGCTCGCTGCAATGATGGGCATCCTTGTCTCTCCCTCATACCACTGTCCTGGTCAGCAGGAGCTTGGCCACACGTGGTGTTCAGGGTGGATAAAGACTGTCACCCCACCCTGCCACCATCTCAGGAACACGCAGGAGAAGAGAGCTTTTAAAGGGTCTGTGGTTATTATTTGGCTAGAAGGAGTCACGTGGCCTAACATGCCCGTGCACAATGTCAGGAAGCCCCAATGACAATCTGCTCTCAAGTGTTGTACCTGTGTTCCACCAGTGGCATCCCCAAGTCCCCAATAAAGGGTCCAGCCTGGAGCTCTGGTCTTGAAACCTCCTTCTGGTAGAGACTTCTCTCTCTTTAAGTCAGTCAACACACATTTTCTGAGGACCTACTATGGGCTGAGCGTGTCCAGAGGATGCAGAAGTGGCTCAGCTGTGGCTCCTTGCACTGAAGCCCATTGTCCACACAAGGGTCACGCCACAGCAGAGGGCTTTGCAAGCTTGTGAACCTGTCAACTGTCAGCTGCACCCAGATGGTGTGTGTGTGTGTGAGTTCATTCCCACCGAGTCCTCCGTAGACTCTGGGGAAAAAATGGATGATGATGGAGTGTGTGGCCGACCAAATACAGAGAAAGGTTCAGGCTGCTGGACAACCCTGTCCCAGCATGCCCTCCTTTGATGGGCTGAAAGAATGGAAACACCCCACCCCACCCTGGTTTGAAGGAAGCCTGCAGCAGGGGGAGCGAGAGGAAGCCTGTGAAGCCGGCCAAGGCTTCTGAGATAGTTGAGAATTCTTTTGTGTGGTGGATAACGGTGGGTCTAAAGGTACATAAAATAGTCAAATATTTCCTGATAATGAATCATAAAGAAATTTAACACAGTACTTTCTATGCACATGAATTTGAGATTTATTATAAATAAAAGCAAATTTAAAAACTAAGGGGATGGTGTGTTTGCCTATTTTTGTTGTTGTTTATTTATTTTTGTTTGTTTTGACACCCCAGTCAAAGTTTTCCATCCCTCTCCTCTTCCCAGTCCCTCTCCCATCTCCTCCCTCCCCCTCCCCCCTCCGCCCCTCCTCCACTGTTCCTCTTCAGATATGGGCAGGCCTCCCACCGATATCAGCCAGCCATGGTACATCAAGTTGTGTTTGTCTTTTGTTTTGTTTTTTTGTTTTTTTGGTTTTTCGAGACAGGGTTTCTCTGTGTAGCTTTGCGCCTTTCCTGGAACTCACTTGGTAGCCCAGGCTGGCCTCGAACTCACAGAGATCCGCCTGGCTCTGCCTCCCGAGTGCTGGGATTAAAGGCATGCGCCACCACCGCCCGGCTTGTTTTGTTTTTGAGACAGGGTTTCTCCGTGTAGCCTTAGCTGTCCCGGAACTGGCTCTGTAGACCAGGGCTGGCTTTGAACTCACAGAGATCCTCCTGCCTCTGCCTTCTGGGTGCTGGGATTTTTAAAGGTGTGCGCCAGCACGCCTGGCCATGTCTGTCCATGTTTACGTGGATGTCCTAGCGCGCTTTTCTGTTGCTGTGGTGAAACACTCGGACTCAGGGAAGGAGAGCATTTATTTCATCTCGTGCTTCGAGGCCGCAGTTCATCATGGAGTCAGTCAGGGCAGGAACTCAGAGCAGAGCCCACCCGTGGAGGAACGCTGCTTGATGGCTGATCTCTGACGTTCTCAGCTACCTTCCCTAGACAGCTCAGGCCACTTGCCTGGGGACAGCACCACCACAGTGGGCCTTGTCCTCCTACATCAAACAGCTCCTCATGTCGTGGTGACCCCCCAACCATAAAGTTATTTTCACTGCTACTTCATAACTGTAATATTTTTTTTGCTGCTAATAGGAATCGTAATAGAAATAGTTTTGGAGATAGGGGCTTGCCAGAGGGGTCGTGACCCACAGGTTGAGAACCACTGTTCTAGATTGTGTTGAGTTGACAATAAAAAGTCACCAGGACACTGGGCGACCCACCGGTAGCCACACAATAAAAGCAAAATGACTCCCCTTCTCTAGCATCCATCAAAATGCCACTCTCTCCTTAGCTAAGGGTGGTGCTTCTTCCATCCCTTTCTAAACCGTACTGAAATGTGGGGTGGCTTGATCTTATGTGCTGTGGGTTCGTGTGTGCAGTAGACCTGTGTTGTCCACAAGACAGCATTCTGCGGCTCTCCTCCATCCTCAGACTCACGTTCTCTCCATCCCCCTTCCCTGATGTTTCCTGAGCCTTGAGTGGGGGTAGATAGCGATGTTCTTCCATTCCAGGCTGAGCACTCAGCCGATTTCTTAGCACTTTGACCAGTTACAGGTCTCTGCATCGACTTCTGCTGGCTCCGGGGAGAAGCTTCTTTGAGGTTGAGAGTTCAGGTCTGTGGCTGTAAATAGAAACATTTAGGCAGTTTGACTATGTCCATTTAGCAAAACAGTAAGTTCCTCCCCAGGGCCCATGACCCTCCCAGCCATGGGCTTTTGACCAGGTTTACAGTACTGGGCATGAACTTCCTTCTGTGGAGCAAACCTTGAACTCGGTTGGAGAGCAGTTGGTTATCCCACAATGGCCAGGCCCCCATTGCACCTGCGGACAGATCATATTGTACTAAGGGTCTACCGATAGGTGAGTTCACCAGTCACTTTTCCCTGCAGTGGCCCTTCGTGACGTCTTCAACACGCCAGCCAGGATGGAGTTTCCCAGTGAGTTCCAACTTCGTTTCTCTACTGCAACCAAAATAAATAGCTTTTAAAGACAGAGTCTTAGGTAGCCCAGGCTGGCCTCAAACTCGCTATGTGGCTGAGGATGACCTTGAACTTCGGATCCTCCTGCCTCTACCCTCTCTGTTACTGGGATTACACGTGTGTATTCCTTTGGTGCCACAGAGTGAACTCCGTGCATGTAGGTAAGTGTGGGTCCCCAAATTCTTCTCGGCTTTTGTCGAGGAATGAAGAGAAGCTGGAGGGCAGGGTCTCAGGCAGCAGGGAGTACGTCAGGTATGAACAACCTATGGGAGACCCTTGCGGATGACAACTCATTTATTGAAATGGGGGGGGGCGAGCTTAAGTGGGGGGAGGGGAGGAAAGAGGTCAAGGGGGGGGAAGTGCTGTAGGAGGGAGGGGGCGACTCTTCCAGCCTATCAGTCAGATTAGCAGATGTCACGTGATTTCTGGGAAGCCATTTCCCTGGGGAGGAACAGAATCGTGACGTGACGTGACGTGACGTGGCCTTTGTCTCTGTGGAGCTAGCAGGCCCAAGCCTGATTTGGGTCGGGAGCGGCCCCACTCCTGCTGTGCTCTCTTGTCCGAGAGATGTTGGGGGTATGGGCAACGCTCCACCGTCCTCCTCTGGCTGGGGAGCCCACAGGCAAGCACTCTGCCAACCGAGCCTACCCCATCACCACCCCCATGCAGTTTTTGAGGGACCGCCATGTTGATTCCCTTTCACATGCCAAGTGCCTGCAGCTTTCAAGCTGCCCAGCTTTTTCTTGCTTGGTCTGTGTCGGGCTCCAGGCTTTGAAGATGCCACAGAAGGCAAGCTGGGCAGATGGCACCTCTGCCCTTGTGATGACTGACAGGCGGGAAAGGCTTGAGCAGCAGTGTTGGGACAAGTGAGAAATAGTGTGGGCCAAGGTGTGTGTGTGTGTGTGTGTGTGTGTGTGTGTGTGTGTGTGTGCAAGTATGTGTACACTGTGTGGTGTATGTGCATGTGTGTTTGTGTACTATGTGGTGTGTATGTGTGTGATTGTGTGTGTGTGTGTGTGTACTACATGGTGTTATGTGTATGTGTGTATGTTTGTGTACTGTGTACATGTGGTTTGTGTGTGTGTAGATGTGTGTGTTTGTGTTGTACGTGTACAACTATGTGTTGCATGTGTGCGTGTGTGTGGTGTGTTACGTGCATGTGTATTGTGTACTACGTGGTGTGTATGTGTGTGTGCATCTGTGGCTGTTGAGAGGGTGGAAAATGGGTGAGACAGGGGGTCTGCTATCTTGGCCTCAGCACATCCCCTCTCTCTTGCTTGACCTTGGATTGAAGGTCAAGACAGAGGCTGGACTGCACAAAGACATGCACTCTGGAGGACACGCATCCAGGGCAGTGACAGGCCAGGGGTGGAGCTCTGAGAGACTTCTCTCACATGGGGACACAGGTTCCTAGGCACACAGTAGGTGTGGGCAGCCAGGGCACCTTGGAAGTTCAATCTCCTCAGCCAGCCTCCTGGTCTGCCTTGTCCCTGCAGGACAGGAACTCAAGCAAGGCAAGAACCCGGAGGCAGGAGCTGATGCAGAGGCCATGGAGGGGTGCTGCTTACTGGCTTGCTCCCCATGGCTTGCTCAGCCTGCTTTCTTATAGAACCCAGGACCACCAGCCCGGGGATGGTACTGCCCACCATGGGCTGGGCCCTCCCCCATCAGTCACTAATTGAGAAAATGCCTTACGGTTAGATATTATAGAGGCATTTGTGGTGATATTGTGTCCCCCAATATATTGTACACCTTAATACACTTATCTGAGGTCAGAGAACAGAATAGTCACTAGATAGACATAGAGGCCAGAAAATGGTGGCACTCACACCTTTAATCCTAGCATTCTGGAGGCAAAGATCCATCCGGATCTCTGTGAGTTCAAAGCCACACTGGAAACAGCCAGGCATGGTGACTCACGCCTTTAATCCCAGGAAGTGATGGCAGGAAGTAGAAAGGTATATAAGGTGTGAGGACCAGGAACTAGAGCCTGGTTAAGCTTTTAGGCTTATAGCAGCAGTTCAGCTGAGATCCATTCAGATGAGGACTCAGAGGCTTCCAGTCTGAGGAATCAAGATCAGCTGAGGAACTGGCGAGGTGAGGTTGGCTGTGGCTTGTTCTGTTTCTCTGATCATTCAGCGTTCACCCCAGTATCTGGCTCCTTTGTTTTTTTATTAATGAGACCTTTTAAGATTCGTGCTACAGGCATTTTCTCAATGGAGTTCCCTCCTTTCAGGTGACTCTAGCTTGTGTCAAGCTGACATAAAACTAGTCAGGAAAGTGCATGATGGGTGGATGGGTGGATGGGTGGATTGGCACGGGAGTATATGGATGGGTGGATGGGTGGATGGATGAATGAATGTTGGCCTCTCCCTGAAGTGCCTCTTCGCTTGCTTCCCCCAGTAACACTGAGAAGGCCTCTGACTGCTGTGCCCTCGGGCCTGGTGACTGCACCCGTGAACCTGGCATGGCCCCGTCCTGGCAGCGGGATGGCTGATGCATGCAAAGTGGGCATCTTCTTGCCCGGCCGCCTGACACACTGGCGCAGCCGAATCTGAAAGCTAATGACATTATTGTGTGGAGACACAATGTCTGTGGGCATTTGCTGACCCGGGCTTTGGTGTGGGCTTAGCCTGCATTCTCACCCCGCTTTTCGCAGGGCCACAGCAGTCACCCATCTTGGCACCAGCTCCCCTGGGGAAGGTATAAATACCACCTCCCACCAGCCGGGCTTCACGGCACTCGCGGGGGCTGGCGATCTGGTAAGAAGGCTTTTGCTGCTTGCTCGGCCCTTTGCTCTTCTTTCCTCCTTATGGCAAAGTGTGGCGCGGAGACCAGCACCTGGCCTCAGTTTTCCCTTCTGTTAAGTGGGGAGAGGGGGTAATCTAAGCCCCTCTGCCGTGGGTTAGGAAACAACACAGTAGACTGACCCGGTGCACAGTCAGAGCCTGGACAAAGTTCCTCCTTTCTTCTGCTTGGAGACGGGAAGGAAGATGCGTTTGTGAACCAGAGGTGGCCCTACCTTGACCGTGTCTAGGTGGCTGAGCCAGCTTTCTCCTGCCTGGTCGTTGTGGCTTCACTGGGCCAGCCTTGGGGGAAAACTTGTGTGCTGAACTCAGCTGCACCCGCTCTTTGGCGCAGTGATTTCAGTGGCACTAAGTCCCACTGGAAATGTCCCTAATCATGCCACCCTGGCTGTCCCTTCCTGGGTGCAGAGTGTGTTCCAGGGCCCTGTCAGAGGCACACAGTTGTACGGAGTCCTAGTTCACAGAGAGGGTGAGGGACCACTGCTGCTTTCCTGGTGTACTGAGTGGGAAACTGAGGCACAGGGAGAGGGCGGGGCTTAGGGGTGGCTGTTCAGCTGCCAGATGGCAGAGCAAACATTTAGACCAGCTCAACTGAGTTCAACATTTGAAGGTAGAAAATTCGGTGAGCTGGTAGTGGACGTGGGCAAGTCTCCCAACATAACGCCATAGCTCAGGAGCCCAGCAGCGGGGAGGAACCGAGGGGGAGGGGGTCCTTCCATTTAGCGTGGGGCTGGATCATAGTGAAGGGGGGGACAGAGGCCAGGTGGCTGCTTCTGGAACAATCTGAAACCAGGCAAAAGCAAAGCCTGAGTGCCGAGGGCCGGGCCGGGATTGACCCAGCGCTCCCATAGCAGCTTGAAGCCGAGGACCAGCAAGGTCCTCATGCGGCTTCCTCATTTTTTTCAGGTCACCTCGACGCCAGAGAGTCCACCATGGCCTCAGACCACCAGACGCAGGCGGGCAAGCCCCAGCCCCTCAACCCCAAGGTGGGTACCCTGCTGGAGGGAGGCGCAGGCGGCCTCCACACACCTAGTTCTCTCTGCAGAGTGGGAACAGTGGGAAGAGCATTGTGCAAAGGCCCTGAGGTTGCCAACTCCTCCCTTCCTGGTGCCCTTTCTGCACCCTGCCCTCCGGGGACTCAGTCTCCCCCAGCTGCCCACCTGGGGCCGATTCCCTGCGCCCCACCCCACCCTCGTGCCCAGCATCCGCTTCCAATTTTAGAGTTAAATTCCTCTGCTTATCTGCTGTCCCACGAGCTATTGCCCACGGGACTCCCTAAGCCTGGGGAAGAGACTCAGTCCCAACTGAAGAGGATTCCCAGCCCCACTCCTGCTGTGTGGCCTAGGCCAGTGGCTCGACTTCTCTGAACGTCAGCCTGTAGAAGGGGGAGCATCAGTTACACACAGAACAATTGTGCAGGCCCAGACACCAGGCCCAGCTTACACACACACACACACACACACACACACACACACACACACACACACACACACACACACCCCGCTGCCAGCTCTGACTTCCCACACTCCTCAGGGGGTGGAGCTTATTCCCACCTCTCAGAGGCTGGCCACACCCAATCTGGCCCAGCCCCATCTCCTCATTTCCGGCTCCTTGAGCTGCATGTTCCCTGAGTGACCGTCGGCAGGCTGTCTTAAGGCGGACCGTAGCCTCCAGGAGTGAAAAGCATCGAGCATGAAGTAGGTTAAAGGGATTTTGAGGTGGAGTACACAGCAAACAGTGTGTCAGCTTGATGCTTACGGTGGGGCCTCCCTGAGGAGGTGCCTGGGGTCCAGTGAGGGAGCCACCACGTGGAGAGAGGGAACCGTGAGGACACCAGGGCAGTGGGAACAGCATGTGCAAAGGCCCTGAGGTTGTCGACGAGTTGGGTGAGTTGGAAGAGAAATGAGGTGGCTGGGTGCAGGGTCCAGCTCGTCAGTACTGTGATGTCATGCACAGATGCTGTGATGTCACATAGGCGCTGATGTCATGCATATACGGTGCCCTCACATACACATACAGTGATGTCACACACGTTTTAGGGTGTCACAGATGTACAGAGATGTTGCATATATTGTAGGAATCACACACGTTATTTAAGATCTTCCGACAGTCATAGCGGGAACTGTGAAAAGCAACCGGTGATTAATGTTCATATTCCCCTTGTTACACAGTTCATTCCCACTCTGCCTTGATTCAAATCTGTGTTTCCGATGAACAGCGCACATGAGCGCTGAGTGCATGTCCGGGGCCATGCAGCTAGGGGCTTCTGAACTGGGTAGTGCGTGGTTAAAGGTTGGTTAACAGGAAAGAATCTAGACTCTATAACAGCTATTATTATTATTATTATGTTGTTGTTGTTATTGTTATTATCCTCTTCACACCAGCAGCAGGGTGCAGCACCCCTGGGACCCAGGGCTTCTCAAGTGTACAGGAAGCCTGACCCTTCCCCACTGGCCCTTATATCCCAGGCCAGGTAATGGCCACTGAGCCCCGACTTCCATATCCTAGAGCCTTCTCAACGCCCCTGTGAACAGGTTTCCTGGCCTGCCAAGCAGAGAGCTTGAAAGCCCAGTTCCTTCTCAGGCCACACAGAGCCGGGGACCAGAGCCTGTCCCCCGCTGCTGTCCCTGGAGGGGTCAGTGACCATGACTGCTGAACTGAGCCCGTGGAATCTGCCCCGGAGCCCTCCTGGCCACTCCCTTCGCTCTCTTGATCTCACTAATCCCCAGCCTGGGAAACAGAGGTGCTTGCTCCAGCCAGTGCTGACCTCACAGACCCTGCACCCACCCCTCACCCCTCTCCTGTCCACTTCTTCATCCAGAGGTGGCTGCAGGCTCCCATCTCCGGGGGACAGAGAGGAGTGTCTAGAAAGGCTCCATGTTCTCAGTTGTGAATGTGGACTCTGTCCGTGTTTAGCTCACGGCTGCGGGCCTTGCGTGGGTCCCTTCACTCTGCAGAGTCTCGGGATCCTGATTGGGGTTTCTGCAGGACCCCTGCCAAGGGCGATGAGGAGACAGAGCCGAGACAAGGGGGAGGATTTCTAATAAGATCCGTCTCATATGGGTGGCCACTGGGAGACCTGGAGACCTCCAGGGGTAGAGGCTTGGGGGAAAGGACCCAGGAAAGTGTGGGTTCACAGGAGACACATGCGTGTGTCTGTAGAGGGGCATCTTGGACCTCCTGATGTGACACCTCCTGGGAGCTGAGTGGCATCTGGAATATGGGGTGTGGCACCCCAGAATCAGTGCCATGAGACTACCTTTTGTCAAGATCCCAGGTTTGGTGTGTGTGTTCAGCTTGCATACTCCCCACGGATTTCTGCTACATCACACAAGTCCGGGCCACGGACCCAGCCCTGCTCCGTAGCGGGTGCCCTAGTTGGTGCATTTGTGGGAAGCCGGGTTATTGCTTAGGAGGAGAGTGACTGCTGGGCGTGTGGAGCGGCCCTGGTTCATCTCTAGCACTCCATGGACTTAAATGGGAGGACACCATGTTGTCCTCTCTCGTGACTGAGCTGACCTTTGCACCCATCATCCTGACAGCTTCCCTGCTCCTGGTTGGCTCTGCCACTCATCTTACTGGCAGAGGAACTGAGGCTCGGAGAGCAGCACCTTCAGGCTCCAAGTCTCCGGCCCTCACTTCACGCTTTATGCCTGTTCTGAATCGGAGGGGTGGAGGCCTGCAGCCCCGAGGCTCTCTGAGCTGACTGCTCACCTCCTGTTCCTCCCATGGTCTGACTCTTTCCCATTCCCTCCAGATCATCATCTTTGAGCAGGAGAACTTCCAGGGTCACTCCCATGAGCTCAGCGGGCCCTGCCCCAACCTGAAGGAGACTGGCATGGAGAAGGCGGGCTCTGTCCTGGTGCAGGCTGGACCGTGAGTATCTGGGCGGTCTTACCGAGTCGGAGACTGTCAGTCTGGTGATCGGATGTTGAATTAGGGGTGTCTGGCCTTTCTGGGCTCCTAGGTTGTGCGTGATGGCGCAAGACTTGGGGTCTGGCAGCCCAGAGGGAGTTTGTGCTGAGGAGGCTGGGGTCGCATCCCGGTTTGGGGACTTCTAGGTTGTGTGGTGTCTGACCATGGACTGCCCTCTCTGTTATTCCATCCCCTTTCTGTAGCTGACAACTCCGCTGTCACACTTCAGGCCCTGTCTCTACTCAGGAGAAAAGGGACGCAGTCATGGGGCCGCCTCTCCCCTCACCACGCAGCGAGGTGCATGAGGGCCGTGTGTGTGTGTGTGTGTGTGTGTGTGTGTGTGTGTGTGTGTGTGTGTGTGTCTCTCATCTCCCTCCTTTGTAAATGTCTTGTGAGTTTGGGGGCACAGTGACCCCCGAAAGTCAGTAGACCAGTATGCCTGGTGGTTCAGGAGTCCTGCACCAGCAGGTGCCGAGTGTGGCGGCCCACTCATGCCCGAGTCTAACGGAGCTGCACACGTGCAGTTATTAGCATGCACAGGGGACCGGGCTCTGCCTCTGTGGAACACACGTCTTCACCCTTTGAGCATGTCTGGCCTCCTCTGCTTTGGCCATTTTGATGGGAGAATTTCCCAAACATGCTTTTAATATTGAAAATAAGTTTTAGTGTGTTTGGTGAGTTGTGTGTGTTGGGAGGGGGTGGTTACTGAGGGTGGAATCCATGGCTTCGCCTATACAAGGCAATCTCCCACCCCTGAGCTCCTCCTCACCCTTCAAAACTGTTCTATAGACATTAACGCTCTTTCTCAGAATGTCTTGATTTTTAAAACTAACTTTTAAAATTGTTTTCTGTTTTGTTTTGAGGATCTCACTACTTAGCCCAGGTGGGTTTTGAACTCCCTGGTGCTGGAATTCTAGAAAAAAAAACTTGTTTATTGCTTAAAATATGTGCTCAATTTTAAGAAAGAAAAACCTTAGCAAAGAGTCATGTCCCCCTGCTCTCAATTTTGACTTTAGCTTACCCTTCAGAAATATTCATCATTAAGATTTTGGTATAAATGTAGATTTTTTTCTTGTGCATGTATTTGTGGGGTTTTTTAAAGATTATATTTGGATGGAATTATGCAGTGTTTTGTGAAATGTTAGAAGGCACCACAATGTTCTCTCTGTCGTAAGTCACACTTCACATTGGCATCTTTCAGAGCAATTTGAGGTCCCTATGCATCAAAACCACAGAAGGGAGACTCTTTAGATGCAGATCCGGGGCCCCACCTCAGACTCCTGGGCTTAGAGCTCAGGAAGCCACCTCAAGCCAGATCTCCTGGTCGTATATTTATGTCCAGCTGAGCTTGTGAACCTGTATCATCTGTCATTATGTATGGTGGCGTTGTATGTGTTCCCCAATCTGCCCACTCTCTCGGCTGTTGGGTGTTGTAAACACCACTGTGATGAACAGCTTTGTTCAGTCACGCCTAAGCTCTGACTGTTGTGCTCAAGAACACAGTGCCTGAAGCAGGCTCGCAGGATGTACTTACTGTACATCGTCCTTTAAATGCTTGTGACAGACGCAGTTGCCTCTCTCACGGACAACCTAGATCTGAACAGACACTGTTGTCACGCAGGGGGAGAGTGTCTGTCTTTGCCCTGGAAAGCCCCAGAAACTTGGCATTTGAAGTTCCCACTTCCTCTTTCCTACTTCTCTGTCCTCTACGGGCCACACCCTCCCAAGAGAGTGCTGTTGATTATAGTCAACCCTGTCACATCCATGGGTGTCACATTCCTGGGTTCAGACAATGAGCAGCAGAAAGTATCTGGGTTGTGTGTGTGTGTCGGGGGGGGGGGGGATCGCCTCTAAGCAAATACACACTCACTTCTGCTCCCTAAAGTGCGATAGATCGTCCCTTGCACAGTGACCCCAAGGCATCTGATGTCCTGAGTCACCTGCAGGTGATTAGGGTGCACAGGAGGCTGTTGCCATTGTAGAGACGTGACCTAAACCTCTTTAGATTCCAGCCCAGTTTCTCACCAGCACAGAGCAGCCGCTGGACATCTCTCTACCATGAATCTAGGAGCTAGAGTCTTGTGTCAAGGCAAGTAGAGAGACATTGGGAGAATTGAGTCTGCAGCCTGCTGAGGAAGAAGCCGTGACCTGCATGACCTTGAGTCCAGAGCTGTGCTCAGTGGCCAGCTGATAGTGCTCTCCTCTCTCCAGGCTGAGGTCACCCCGTCCTCTCATGGTCTCCAGGCCGAGGCATGAACACTGTGGACGCCAGCCAGCAGCGCTAGATAGATAGGGTCATGGGGTTCTTGTTCTGCATTTGGAACGGGTTATGACTTTCCCAGCATCCTCTTGGCCTTAGGACACTGGGGGTAGGCACTGTCATCTGTGGCCAAGCTGTCCTTCAGCCTCATTGTTTAGTTCTCCTGTGTGCTGCAGGAGGTGGAAGGCAGTGAGGCCTGGGTTCTGGATAACCGAGGTCACCTTGTACTTATCTCCTCTGTATTTGGGTTGAGATGGGGCCAGTGCAGCGGGGTGGAGTGCCAGGACCCTGCCGGCCGCAGGATGCCCGGCAAGAGACCCACTAGCCCTTTCTTTTGTCTTGCAGCTGGGTGGGCTATGAGCAGGCCAATTGCAAGGGTGAGCAGTTTGTGTTTGAGAAGGGTGAATACCCACGCTGGGACTCCTGGACCAGCAGCCGGAGGACAGACTCCCTGAGCTCTCTGAGGCCCATCAAAGTGGTAAGCCAGAGGGGCAGGGCCCAGGAGACTCCCCACCCACACTGTGCTCTGGCCGAGGACCTCCATTGCAGGGTGTGGCCAAAGGCATTTGGCCTCCTAAGCCTCTGTTTGATTTTAGTTCTGCTGCTGGCAGAGACTCCCTCATTCCTAGCCCATTCCCAGGACAGCTGTCTTGTCCTGTGGGTCGTGTCCTTTAGGGTCAGGCTCAGTTAGCAATCATGAGTATTAAAGACATCCTGGGGTTATGCGGGGGAGGTGCTTTAGTCCAGACTCAGGCAATGAGCTTCTGGTCTGTTTCTGACCCTGATTCTTACTAGCATGTGGACGGTTGGGTAGAGAAAGGACTCAGCCACGCTCACTTATGTGCCCCAACCTTCCAAAGCCAGACTTGCACCTCCCAGACCTCTGTCTAAGACTGGATCTCCCCAAGATCTGAGCTCTTGTGTGGACTCTGCTCCTCTCAGCTGGGTGACTTTGGGCAAGTCACTTGACCTCTCTGAGTCTCAGTTGTCTCATACATTGTAAGAACTGCTGAAAGGGTGGATAATAATTGAGGAAAACCTCTTCACTGGGACGGTAGATCTGGAGATGGTAGGTGACCCTGCACCTGCTGAGGCCACCAGAAGCCTGCACGCTGTCTGTGTGCAGGCAGGTGCTGTATCACAGCTGCTGTTTATGAAACAGGAAGTGGAAGTGAAGGGAGGGAACCTGGATTCTCAGGACCAAATGCTCTCTGAGCGCAGGATCTGAGGTGGTCTGTCCCATGCCAGTCGCTCCGTGGGCATCCGGTTACCAGCCAAGGTGCTTGTCCCACCTCCTCCCATGAGGTGGGCTGTTGGCAGAGGTGGGTAGAGGGTTGGCTTCACCCACCCCCTCTGTCTGCAGGACAGCCAAGAGCACAAGATCATCCTGTATGAGAACCCCAATTTTACCGGTAAGAAGATGGAGATCGTAGATGACGATGTGCCCAGCTTCCACGCCCACGGGTACCAGGAGAAGGTGTCTTCCGTGCGGGTGCAGAGCGGCACGTGAGTGTGACCCCAGACCTCAGCATCTGGGAACCTGCGTCCTGATCTGCCCTGAGCTCACTGGTTTTTTTTGGGGGGTGTCATTGCTCTGTCTTCCACCCACTCTCACATCACCGGGTGGGAATCACCAGCCTGTAGGCTGTGGGAAGTTCCGTCCTGGGCTGTGCTCCCCTCCCCTCCCCCGGCGTCTACCTGGGCAGGTGGAGGCAGCAGGTGCCATGAATGGAATGATCTTAGCTCAGAGGGAGGAAGTGGAGCTTCTGCCCTGCGGACCCCTGAGCCTGTGAACAGACACAAGGAGAAATTCCACTTGGACACGTGATCTTGGCCTCCGGCCTGTGGAATTCTCACTGTGAGCCGTGGCACCCATGAGGTCCTAGGTGGATCCTCAGGCAATGTGTGTTGGGGTGGTGCATACAGTAGGCATTCTACACCCACAGCTCAGTTGCTGAGCTTTTTAGCCAACCGTGAGTGGGACATTCTGGAAACACACACACATGCATGCGCATACACCCAACACATGCACATGCACACACTTTTGCACACATACACATGCACACACACCCGCACACACACATGCACACACACTCTGGAACACACACGTACATGCACACACACATGCATTCACACACACACACACACACATTTTTGCACACATACCCACACACATGCACACACACACCCATGCACACACGTGCACCCACACTAAACACAGATGTGTTTTTCTGTCACTGCCCTGAACAGTAATGACTATTCTCATGACATTGTGATGGCAGTAGGGTAGTCACCTGGAGGGCTTTGCGGCTCAGACCACTTGCTGCATAAGCACAAGGACTTGAGTTCGAATCCCTAACACCTATGTAAAGGCCACGTGTGGCCCACATCACACCTGTCACCCCAGAGCTGTGGGAGGTGGAGACAGGGGGATGACTGGGGCTTGCTGGATGCCAGTGAGAGACCCTGTATCGAGGGAATAAAAAGGACCGTGACAGAGCAGGTCACCTAATGTCCTTCTGTGGCTTCATACAGAGAGCATGCAGGCATGCTCACCCCTCCCCATCCGCACATGCGTGAATACTCACCCCCTACCACACACACACACACACACACACACACACACACACACACTGTCACTGTTGTATATGTAGGTCATGCTCATAGACACCGGGAAACATAAACACACCTGTGAAGTTGACTTACTCATGGCGAAAACAGGCAGTTTATCAAGAAAGAACAGGACACTCTGAAAATGGGGGTGGGCTGGGTGGGATGGGGGAGGTCTGGTTGTTCATCCCACATCCCGAGGTGTTCAGCGAGTGCCAGGCTCTCCCCATGGGCTCTGCTCCACGCAGCCTGAGCTCTCAGGGAATCACCAGGCTGCCGCCAGCCTTTCTTCATGTTACCCTCAGTGCTTCCCTCCTCATGCCCTGCCCCGTGGCCGCCACAGCTGCTGAGTGCTGTGGTCCCAGAAGCCTTTGGGGGAGCAGCAAGGCAGTGATCAGTCACTGTGGACTCAGGTTCCCTCACCAGTGGCATCTTGCAGTCAGACCCACTGGCTTTTGTTCACACCCCAGAGATAGGTGGACCCTTTAAATCCCAGTGTTGGTGCCCCTGACAAAGCAAGCCTGTGTGCCCTGGTTTCCTGGGATTCATCAAGCCCCACCAGCGTAAACCTCTGTGCACAGCCAGGCATCTGTCCCTGGCTGATTTAATTTGCCCGTCGCTGCCAAGTGCCGTGAATTGTGCCGGGGACTCCAGATTCGAAGGCAGATGAGGACCTAGTGCCTGCTTGGTGTGGCCGACCCTCCAGAGGGACAACTGCCAATCATTTAAGGGTCCACACAGATCTAAGGGGCTTCCCCGAGGCTCTTGAGCCGAGATCTGAAGGCAAGAGTAGGAACTGAAGGCCAGAAAGGCATCTAAAGGAAGCTGCGGCACCGCGGCCCTGCGGTGAGAGGAGACCGTCGGGGGGCGCTCTTGCTCTCCGTGGTTGATGGAGGTGATGGCGTGCAGGGCTGCTGAGCAGGGATGGAAGTGTCTAGAGTCCACTGGACAGGTCCCTCAGCTTGGGCTGGGGAAGATTTGACATTTCATCAAATGGTACCCTGCCTGGCGAAGGCTCTAAAGGTGGGTGGGTGATAGACGGTTCCTGTTGTCTCTCCCCATCCCCGGGCCTCGCTGCTAGGCACCGGGCCAAGATGGGACTGTCCTGAGCAGGTGCAGGAGCCCGTGTGAAATACAAGGTTTGGGTTGGGAGGTAGTGAGCTCCCCATCAGGAGAGGGAAGTAAGCACCGGTTCAGAGTCAGAGGGGTGGGTGGAAAGTGGCGTCCTGGTCTTTCCCCCTCCTCCTCCTGGTGTCAGGACGCCCCCACCCACCTCTCCCTCCAGCTCACCCGCCCCTCCCCCGCCTCTGCCCGCAGGTGGGTCGGGTACCAGTACCCCGGCTACCGTGGCCTGCAGTACCTGCTGGAGAAGGGGGACTACAAGGACAACAGTGACTTCGGGGCCCCTCACCCCCAGGTGCAGTCTGTGCGCCGCATCCGTGACATGCAGTGGCACCAGCGAGGCACCTTCCACCCCTCCAGCTAGAGCCCCGACCTTCCCCTCCCCAGGGGCCAGGCCCACCACCCCGGGGCCTCCTGACACCAGAGTGAATAAAGTGTGGCTTGCAACATGTCTGCCGTGGGTCTTCTATCTGTGGTGTGCCTGGGGGGCACATGTGTGTGCACGTGTGTGTGTGTGTGTGTGTGTGTGTGTGTGTGTGAGAGAGAGAGAGAGAGAGAGAGAGAGAGAGAGAGAGAGAGAGAGAGAGGTGGAGGGGGGAGAGGAGGATAGAAAGGAGGGAGGGAGGAAGGAAGGAAAAAGGGCCCTTAATGAACATCTGGGCTAACTGCAGCAAGGCTCCATTGAATCTTACATCTCCGCCACTGCATAGCTGTGTGACCTAGAACACACAGGCAACCTCTCTGATCCTCTGTCTATCTGATTTACCCACCCCCTGCCTTGCACATGGCCAGCGTGGCTGACCTTCTGGTCCTTGCCCAACATAATGCCAACAGTCATTCTTAGGGTGGGTGACAGGTTGGTTATCTGTCGCCCTCACTGCTCCGTCGTGGCTTCTTGGTTTACTTTGCTTCTGCCAGAGGATCCAAGGCCCTGCAGCGTCCTCTGCGTCCAGGGAGAAGCCTTAGCCACGTGTCTGCGTGTGTCCCTTGCTCCCACCTCTGTCCCTGGGTTGGTTTGGTCTCTTGTGTGGCCGTCCTAGAGCACAGCTAGGAGGTCACATCACAGGAGAGGGAAGGCCTTGTTCACGGGCCTCACCTCAGGTGACCTCTCAGAACTGTGCTGTTCCCGTGAGGGGGTAAGCAGGCATGGAAAAAACAGGCACGGGCAGGCGGTGCCGCCTTCTTCTCAAGGTGGATGCTGGGGTCGCTCTTCGCCTCTCTCCCGGTAGCTCTGAATATCGTTTTAAAATGTAACATACTCAGATTTCAAGCTCCCACCCCCACCACGGTTTTCACAGTCCTTAAAAGGTTCATTCGAACCCCAGGACTCAAATCCAGTCTCCAACACCCCCGATGTTTGAGAGTTTTGGTCTCAGTGCTCACTTTCTTACTTTTTCTGGAGGCGATTTCTGTGCCTTGAATGCAGTAAGACCCGGTTTCTCCTTTGATTTTTTTTTTTTTCACTCTGGGCAGCCGCTGGCCTGCGGGCCACTGAAGAACCCCACTCAGAGTCTGTCCGTGGACTGTCGGCTCTGTCTGTCATCTCCTGTGTATTCTGACCCTGCAAACCTCTGCTTTGCGGGGGTGGGTTGGGGTGGTGGTGGTGGTGGTGGTGGCAGCCGCCAAGGCTTTAGTCCGCAGGAACGCTTGGACATGCTTGTCCATCTAGACACTCTTTAGAAGGACCCCCTCCAACATGGACACGTGGGAAACCATGGAGGCTTATCAGTCTGTGATCTGTTGCTATAACAAAATACCAGAGGCGACTTACTCATGAAGCCAGAGGTTGGTTCCACAGGCTGGAAGTTCAAGACCAGGCAGCCACCTCTGGACACAGGGGTCCTTTTGGAAGGGTGACAGGGTCAAGCAATGGAAGAGAACCAACTGTGTACAGAAGGGCCAAGCTCACTCTGGCAAGGATGTCCCTCACCCCACCAGACCAGGTTCATGACTTCCAAGGATGGAGTTCCAAGGACTTTAGCACCCTGCCCTTAGACCATGCCTCTTTTCTTTTTCTTTTTTAATTAAAAATGTTTTTAGATTGATTTCACCTTATGTGTGTTAGTATTTTGTCTGCATGTACATTTGTGCACCTTGTGTGTGCTTGGTACCCGAAGAGGGCCCTGAGTCCCCCAAAACTGGAATTACAGATGGTTGGGAACCATCATGTGGGTGTTGGGAGCCAAACCCAGGTCCTCTGCAAAACCAGACAGTGAGTGCTTTCAGCCACTGAGCCTCTCGAGTCCCTCGGCCCTGATTCCCCTGAAAGGTCTCAGCACCACCACGCCGGAGGGTTCGTTTGCAGCACCTGAGCTGTGGGAGACCCACTCAACCCACCCCAGGAGGGGATCAATACATGGTAATAACTTCCGTTTCCCTGTTCATTCTTCAGCCTCCTCTACGAAGGGGCTACTTCCTTCCTGGGACTAAACAAGAGGGAAGTTGAGCCCCGGTGAATATTACGGATGGAGTTGCATCATTCATGAGTTGCAAACCCGGCCCCAGGGGCTCAGAATAGGGGGCATTCTTTGGATGTCAGTTGCTGCAGATGTAATAAAATGGTACCTGACAAGGGAGCCCCTAACCCAGCGTGAGGGTGTCCTTACGCAAAGGGGAAACACAGAGACAAACACGCGAAGTCACAGAGGGTTATGTGTGATCGCTGGTCTCCACGGTCAGCCTGATGGGACTGGAATCACCCGTGGGACACACTCCGAGTGAGTCTGTGAGGGGGTGTCCAGGAAGGAGCAATGGAGGGTGATGATCGCCCTCCAAAGGGAGGCAGCTCCTTCCAATCGGAGGTCCACTGAGGGAAGCGGGGTGGGTCCACCTGCTTTCGCTTCTGTCTGAGTGAGTGTCTGTTGCTGCCGCTGTTGCCCTGCGTGGACACCAGACTCCAGCGGCCTCAGCCTTCCTGTATGGACTCCACACCAGCTTCTCTGCAGGAACCTCCCGGATTGTAGCACTGTACTTAGGCTTCCCTGGCATCTAGCCGTGTGGACTGAGCGGCTTCTGGGTTCTCTGTATGTCTGGGGTGTGAGGCGTCATTGTTGGACTCCCTAACCCGGCTGTAAGCCAACAGGAATACATCTCTTTTATTGTGTCTTTTGCTACGTCATTATGTTATTGGTTGTTTCTTTTCTTTTTCTTTTGGTTTTTTGAGACAGGGTTTCTCTGTATAGTTTTTGGTGCCTGTCCTGGATCTCGCTCTGTAGACCAGGCTGGCCTCGAACTCACAGAGATCTGCCTGGCTCTGGCTCCCGAGCGCTGGGATTAAAGGTGTGCGCCACCGCCACCCGGCTGGTTCTGTTTCTTTAGGGAAACCTGACTAACACACCACACTAAGAAGAGTGCGTTGCTTCTATCTCCCAAGGAAGTCCTAAGAATGCTGGGGGCAGGCTCCCTGCAGCCCGCAGGTGTGGTGGTATTGTGTTCCCCAAAATATTGTGCATGCTAATAAACTTATCTGGGGTCAGAGAAGAGAACATCCACAATATTAAACATGAGGACAGGCAGTGGTAGCACAGGCCTTTAATCCTAGCATTCCAGAGGCAGAAATCCATCTGGATCTTTGTGAGTTCAAGGCCACATTGGAAACAGCCAGGCATGGTGACACATGCCTTTAATCCCAGGGGTGATGGTAGTAAGCAGAAAGATATATAAGGTGTGAAGACCAGAAACTAGAAGCTTTTGGCTGGTTAAGCTTTCAGGCTTTTGAGCAGCAGTTCAGCTGAGACTCATTCTGAATGAGGACTCAGAGGCTTCCAGTCTGAGGAAACAAGATCAGCTGAGGAACTGGCAAGGTGAGGTAGCTGTGGCTTGTTCTGCTTCTCTGATCTTTCAGCATTGACCCCAATACCTGGCTTCAGGTTTGATCTTATTAATAAGAACTTTTAAGATTCATGCTACACGCAGGAGGAGCAGATTTGCCCTGGCTGGCACTCAGTCATCGATGCTCAGCCACCAGGAACAACACCCGCCCGCCCGCCTAGTTCTCTGTCCCAGAAAACTCACATGGTAGTGGTAAGAGGAAGGAGACATCCCTGGGCCAGGTGAGGGCTTCCCCAGAGGCGAAGTGTTTGAAAAGACATGGAATTTTCCAGGTGAAGTTGAGGTAAGAAACGGTCTCGGAACAGATGTGCAAAGTGGGACAAACCAGTCACGTGGTGATTCTCCCCGCCCCCGCACGTGGGAAGCTTGAGAGGCCTGGTTGAGCAGGGTCCTGAGAGATTAGGGATGTGTGTGTGTGTGTTGACTGTGATACGTGGGTGTGCAGGAGGGGTGGGGTACCAGGGAAGGCACAGCCAGATCCTCATCGTTGAATGATCAGCCTCTCTTAAGGTAAGTGGTAAAACTTTAACAGTCGTTTCTTTTGCTCAAAGATCCGCAATTTTGGGAGCGCCCAGTGGGTCAGCTCGTCCCAGATGGGTTGTCCAGGGTGGCTCTCGGCCACCGGGAAGGGCTCACCCGGCTGAATGCCGCTGCCGGGTGGGCAGCTGTCCTCTTGGACATCCCCAAGTGGGTGCTGGCATACCCACCCCATGGTGATGGGTTTCCAGGAGCTGGTACCTCAGGAGGAAGACGCAGCTTTGGGACTGGCTGCTCATTCTCTAAGAGGCATCCGGGTCATGTGGGGTTGCCCAGGGTTGGGAGGAAGAGACGAAGTTCCCACCAGCCGATAGGACATCTGGTGATGGCCATCTTCAGAAAACACAGTCTTCCCCCGAGGCACTGGGGATACAGGGAGTGGGCTTCCACGGGGCAGGGCGGGAACCCGGTGTGTGAACTCCAGCAGGACACGGACTCCCTTGAGCCCGTACTCAGGACTTGGTGGCTGGTCCTGAGTCCCTGCCCCACCCCCCGCTTTGTCTGTCATGGTAGAGTGTGATCACACCCTTGCCCTCCTCACTTCCATCCCCCACTTGTCCTGGAAGCCCACCTACAGCCTCTTCTAGTCCCCAAGGACCCACCTGCCCCCTTCCCCAGCCCCTCTGGGAGTCACTTCCCCTGCTGGCCACCAGGTGTCAGCAAAGCGCCATCCTCAGCGCGCCGTCAGTCACCGAAGTGGGCGGGGCCCGGTGCCCCCCAGGTTGCAGATCCAGTGCACCGCTGAGTTCCCCGGTTCCCCGACGCGGGATGCGGGACACGCACGGACTCTGGAAACACAGGGTGCCTGCATGGAAAGATCAGCGTTTTGTCTCATGCTTCCAACCCCTGGAACGAAAATTGGAACACAAACCACCGCGGAGACAAAAATGGAAAACGTTTTATTCTTGTCTTCCACGCGGCCCGAGCGCTCGGGGTTGCTCTGGGTGTCTGCGCGGGCCGCCTCGCGTGGGCGCCCACGAGCCTTTCTAGCAAAGAGCTGGGTGAGTGGGCGGTGTCTTCCGCAGGGAGGGCCCTGCGCATGTGT